CAGGAATTGTCCAATGAGGTTCTCAGGGCTGTATGGTGGTCTAGGAGAGGCGGGCCTCCCCATCCCGAATCCTCTCTCACCTGCCCCCAGGTGGAACTCATGAGTTTCCAGTTGCTGTTGATCAAGTTGAGCAGGGTGAGGAATTTCTCGTCGGTGTATTCGAAACGCTTCCCGAAGACCAGGGTGCAGATGATGTTGGAGCCGGCGCAGCTCAGGAAGAAGGTGGGGTCAAAGGGTTTGCCTAGAGGGGAGAGTGAGGGCCTGCTGTTACCCCCAGGCTTTGTGCCCTCAGCCTTCCCCAGGGATCTCAAAGCACCGTACAGTAATTTAGCCACACTTTTCCCTGGCAAGCAGGGGTTCTCGCTGTCTGTGAGATGGGGAAATTGAGGCACAGAGTGGGGCACTGACCCAGGCCAGGTCACAGAATCAGTGGAATGGAATCCGGCATTCCTGACTCCCAGCTCGACCCACTAGACAACATGCTGTACCCAGACGCAGAACCCAGGAGTCCTAGGCCCCTCCCCCTGCTCTAACCGCTAGACCCCATGCCCTTCCCAGAGCCAGGATAGAACCCAGGCATCCTGGCTCCCACCTCTGCTCACCCACCAGAGAACCTAATTGGGTTTGTGCAGACTGGGGGCAGAGCCCCAGTGGTTGGATCAGGACGCAGTGTTTGGATCCCAGATCTCTGGGTTTCCGGGTCACTGCCCCTCTCCTGCCCCTGCCCCCGGCTCATCCATGAATGGAACGGAACCTTCGGTTTTCCGGAACTCGGACACCAGGAACTGGGCCTCCTCCTTGATCCGCTCCTCCATGCTCCTCTTCCCCATGCCGAAGTTCTTGAAGGTGGTGATGGCAAATCGGCGCAGCTGACGCCACCGTTCCCCGGTGCCGTAGACGATCCCTGGGCAAAGGAAATTCAGTGCTGATCATTGCAAAAGTAACGCACCAGTGGACAACATAATCCCAGCTCTCCATACACAACCACCGGGTCTCAATGAGCTGTGACCACTCAAGACAGAGATCTTGGCGTCACTGTGGATAGTTCTCTGCAAACAGCCACTCCATGGCAGTGGCCGTCAAACGATGAACAGACTGTTGGGAACCATTAAGAAAGGGACAGATAATAGGACAGAAAATATCACGTTGCCTCTGTATCCATCCATGGGATGCCCACAGCTTGAATCCTGCGTGCGGCTGTGGTCGCCCCATCTCAAAAAAGATCGATTGGAATCAGAAAAGGTTCAGAGAAGGGCAAGAGAAATGCTTAGGGGTCTGGAACAGCTTCGGTATGAGGAGAGATGAATAAAACGGACTTTTCAGCTTGGAAAAGCGACGGCTAAGGGGAGATATGATAGAGGTCTGTAAAATCATGACTGGTGTGGAGAAAGTGAGTAGGGGAGTGTTGTTTACCCCTTCACTTAACAAGAAACTGGGGTGAGTGAAATAATTAATAATCATCAGGTTTAAAACAAACAAAAGGAAGGACTTCTGTATCCAACATATCAACCTGTGGAACTCCTTGCCAGGGGATGTTGTGCAGTATTACTGGGCTCAAAAAAAGAACTAGATCAGTTCCTGGAGGATAGGTCCATCAAGATGGGCAGGGACATAACCCCATGCTCTGGGTGTCCCTAAACCTCTGACTGCCAGAAGCTGGGAGTGGACGACAGGGAACGGATCACTTGATAACTGCCCTGTTCTGTTCATTCCCTCTGAAGCAGCTGGCTGTCAAGGACAGGATACTATGCTAGATGGACCATTGGTCTGATCTAGCCTGTTCGTATGCACCACACACTAGATACCATTCATGTCTGTGACCTGGGGATAGAACCCAGGAGTCCTGATTCCCGACTCCAACACACTGGACGCCACTCCCCTTCCTGACCTGTGTAGAGAACCCAGGCGTCCTGACTCCCAGCCTCCCCCGCTTTAACCACTAACCACTCTCCCAGGAAGGGGAAATGGTTGGGAATCGACCGTGATCCCTGCCCCGGGGTTTCACACCAGTCTGTGGTATGATTCCAGACCCTGCAATACAGCCAGGGGGTCAGGAGACTGAGCTGTGTGTCCGTCCGTCTGTGCCTCACCATTTCCATTACTCCACATCTGCACTGCCGGAAAGTCCCCCCTGCCGCTGAACTCCTCGGCCTTATCAACCAGGGCTTCCTTCAGCACCTTGTACCCAGAGAGCACCACGCAGGGCCGGGAGCCCAGGTAAAAGGTGTAGATCGGGCCGTAGGTTTCGCTGAGCTGGAAGGAATAAAGGAAGGCGGCTGTTAACCCCGGGCTGCAAGGGTCAGTGGTCAGGGCGCGCAGCGGGGAGTCAGGACACCTGGGTTCTATTCTGGTTCTGGGAGGGGAGCGGGGTCTAGTGGTTAGAGCGGGGGGGCAGGGAGCCAGGACTCCTGGGTTCTCTCCCTGGCTCTGGGAGGGGAGTGGGGTCTAGTGGGTGGAGCAGTGTGGGGCATTCTCAGAGTCTAGGCTCCGGGGTTCTCCTGTGATGCTAATAATAATTTGAGCTGTGTGACAAATACCATTCTGTTTTGGAGCCCAGGTGACAAACGGTTTGTGTTTTGCAGAGCTCCACCAGGGTTTGGCCCCCAGATGCCTGTGAGGTTCTGGGCCTAGGTGCCCCCCGAGGTCGCGTCCGGCTGCCCATTTCTATGACTCTATGAAAAGCCACGTTTCTGACGCAAAACTTTCCTGCCACTCAAACCACAATAACGAGCAAACTGAGGGACGACTCACCTTCCGCAGAGACTTTATCAGCTCCTTCACCTCCACCTGCAGCATGTTCCCCAGGAACGGGATGGGGGTGGGCCCGGGCGGCAGGTTGTGCCAGTTTTTCTTCTTCTGGGTCAAGAGGAGGAAGACGCACATGATGCATATCGCCAGGAGGATGCTGAGGGTCCCACTGAAATCCATCCTGGAGCCGGCCTCTCTCCTCCGCTGCCCTTTGCGTTAGACCCTGGGTGATGCTGGCACAACCCTGCCTATATAGCCCCGCTCTGGGGGCCTTGCTGATAACGCCCCTCTTTGCATCACAGCTCTGGGTAAATAATTGCAAACTCTGCTGGATGGTGAAATTTGGAATTTACCCACTTGTGCCATCCATGGTGACCACCTGGGACAACTCCTCAGCGGGGGCTTGAACCCACCGCCTCGCTCGCAAGCCACCACTGGAGCTGAAGGAGCATGACCCGCTGTGTCTTCTCCATGGTGGACTCGTTTGCCTCATCTCTGGGCTAGGGAAGGACTCAGAGTGGGCTGATGGGTGTTTATGTGGTGGGTGTCCATGGGCTGGGGCATTATTCACCAATAAGGAATTCCGCCACTATGGGAGGACCAACTACCACCAACTCCTTCGGAGCGTCACTGGCTTGGCCTGTGCCTCAGTTTCCCCACCTGTAAAATGGCAAGCAACGGGAAGCCAATGGGGCGTCAACAGGAAGTGAAGCAGGAAGCCAATGGGAAGTCTGCCTGGAAGTCAGTGAGACCTGGGCTGGGTAAGGGCCACAATATACAGCGCAATGAGACCCTCAGTCTTAGCTGGGTCCTCCAGGCGCTACCGTAATACATATAATAGCAGTAATGCAATTCGTACGGCTCTCATTCTTGAACGACGTTTCCCTACTGAGCCGCTGTCAGGGAGCGAGCTGGCATCGCTGACGCTGGCAGGAGACGCCTGCTCCAGCCAAGGCGGGAAGATAAAGGGATCCAGCGGGTGAGGCCGTAACCACGAGAGTCTGGGCAAGCGGCACAGCGGCTCATTATTACCTCTCCTGCCACTGTGCAGATCGGGCAGCTCAACCGGTCTGGGGAGAGCCAGTCCACCCCAGAACTTCATATGCACGAACGGTAACCGTGTTTCGATAGAACAGTGACTTTCAGCCGGTCAGAGCCTGTCCCCTGATGCCACACACCGCCTGCTTTATATGCAAATCAGTTAGATAGACATGAGGAATAATGGGGGTTACAGCATGCTCCCCCAAGGTACAGAATGTCACACCGGGGTTCAGAGGCCACGTGGGACCCAGCGCGGCTCGTGAGCTCCTCCTCATGGCTGGGCCTAGGATGGACGTTTCTGAGTCTGCTGCTGATTCTTTGCAGAGGTGTTGTTTGGCTCAAGCAGTGGAAGTTCAGGCTTTCGGACCCCAAGGTTCCCCCTTCAGCCCCCCCAGGGGTGACCTAGGTGGGGGTGTTATCGCCTGATTGTGGACCTGACCCGCCCCTCCATGGCCATTCAAAGGGATTGTCTCTTACAAAACTCCATGGGGCCGGTGACCTCTGTGTTACTATAATACACCTAATAGTGGTGAGAATCCGTGCGAGGAACTGGCCACTCTCCGTGCGACCCGTCCAATTCTCCCCACCCGGCTCCTGGAGGAAAGGAGCCGAGGCCTTTCCAGCCGGAAACGAAGGGGAAGAATGGGCAAGTGTGGCGAACGCACCACGAGGTTGACCGAACCCCTCCAATGAGTGGCACGGGCTGGGCACTGGGACGGTCGCTGCTGGCAGGGGCCTGCCTTGGGGCCAGTGAAGGCTGGAGGTTTGCTTTGCCTCCGGGACTTCACCCCCAGAGAGAGGCAGGCCCTGCTGCCAGGAGCTCACAGTCTGAACAGCCAGAGGAGGGAGTCGTAGATTCCAAGGGACCCCATCTCGTCCGGTCCCCGATAGCATAGGGCAGAGACCTGCCCCCCTGTCCCCCCTGAATTCCTAGGGCAGATTTTTTAGAAAAGCAGCCCGTCTCGATGTAAAGCCATCAGGGCTGGAGAACACGCTGTGCCCCTTGGCAAAGGGTTCCCCTGGTGAATTGCTTTCATGCTTCAAAATTTACGCCTTATTTCCAGTCTGAATTTGTCCAGCTTCAACATCCAGCCCGTGGGTTGTGTCAGCCCTTCCTCGGCTCGCTCGTTGTTAAATGTTTGCTCCCCGTGTCGGCACCGATAGACCGGGATCTCCTGCTCTTTGCTGGGTTTTCGAATCCTTTGATCATTCTTCGCTGAGCCCCTCCAACGCATCAGCGTCTTTCTTGAATCGTGGGCACCAGAACCTGACACAGGATCCCGGCTGCCGTCGCACCGGGGCCAAACACAGAGGGGAAATCACCTCCCTGCATGTGGGTCCTGCTTCACCCTCCCTCCTCCCCCACTCCCCAGGGCTTATCTTCACCAACGTGGCCGCAGCTGCGCCGGTTCTCCCCCAGCACAAGGTGGAACTTCGGCACGGGGCAGCGGAGCATGGCGGGCGGATCCAGGAGGAGGCCCAGCGCCTGGCAGGGGAGCTTGGGAACACAACGGGTAGGTGCTTCCTGTCTCACCTGCCGTCGCCCCGTTCCAAGTGCCTCAGCCTGTTTACTATCTGCTCAGCTCTCTGCTCAGATTTCTCCCCGTGAACTGGTGGAACTCACTGCCACAGGCTCAGAGGCTCGTGTGGAGAAGGAGACCAGCCACCGGTTCATCAGCCAGGATTAGAGACAGCCAAGTTTAGAGCAAGTCCAAGGGAGGACGGATGGGCTCTGGGCTGGGAGTCAGAATGCCGCGGTCGGTTCCTGCCTCCACCACAAGTTCCTGGTCTCTGCATCTCTCTTGCCTCGTATCCTCACTCTGTGCAATGCGGATAAGAACCCCGTCCTTTGTCTGTTCACACTAGGAGCTCTTTGGGGCAGGAACTATCTTTTACTGTGTGACTGGGCGGTGCCTGAAGTGCCAGGGACCCCTGTTCTCTGTCATGTTCTGGGCAGCGCCCGGCACGACGGGGCCCTGATCTCAGTAGCGGTCTGGGCAGCGCCTGGAACAATGGGGCCTGATCTCGGTCGGGGTCTGGGCAGCGCCTGGCACGACAGGGCCCTGATCTTAGCCGGGGTCCGGGCAGTGCCCGGTGCGACAGGGCCTTGATCTCAGCCGGGGTCTGGGTAGCACCTGGTACGATGGGGCCCTGTTCTCGGTTGGGGTCTGGGCAGCGCCCGGCATGACAGAGCCCTGATCTCGGTTGGGGTCTGGGCAACACCTGGCACGATGGGGCCCTGATCTCGGTTGGGGTCTGGGCAGCACCCGGCCCAATGGGGCCCTGATCTCGGTTGGGGTCTGGGCAGCGCCCAGCGCGACGGGGCCCTGATCTCGGTTTGGGTCTGGGCAGCGCCCAGCACGACGGGGCCCTGATCTCGGTTTGGGTCTGGGCAGCGCTCGGCGCGACGGGGCCCTGATCTCGGTTGGGGTCTGGGCAGCGCCCGGCGTGACGGGGCCCTGATCTCGGTTTGGGTCTGGGCAGCGCCCGGCACGACGGGGCCCTGATCTCGGTTGGGGTCTGGGCAGCGCCCGGTGCGACAGGGCCTGATCTCGGTTTGGGTCTGGGCAGCGCCCGGTGCGACGGATCCCCAGTCTGTGATGGGGCCGCTAGGTGCTACTGTAATACACCTAATAATAATGATTAATCTTTGGGCCATAAGCCAACTGGATAGTAACCATGGGGTGGAAGAAGAAAACTCTGCAAGTTATTCCTGAATTGCCCACCAGGGCACCTTCCACTCTTCCACCTTCCTCTAGCCCGGAGATGCTCTGACCTCCGCGGCTCGGGAGTCAAACTAGCGAAAGAGAATCACAGCGGTGTGAATTAAGTACACTATCGAATCAGATTTCAACAGCCTGACAGGCGAAAGGCTCTGTTTATAGCTCTGTAGATTATTCTTACAGAAAATGAGTTAAGAACTTCATGCAGGTTCATCACATGATTGGGGACTAACACAGTAAAAGTCTCCTGGTTGGTCAGTAACGGAGATCGGTTACTAATTCACTCACACCGCGTGGGAGCCTCACGGGCTGCAAAGAGACACATTACGGCGCCACTTGCGGCCTGCACGCCTGGGTGGGGGTCTTGCGGCTCCATAGCAGCTGGCCAAGGCTGCGGGGGGAGGAATTTCTGGGCTGGGTGGGCCCTGAGCCTCCCAGGCTGGTCCATTGCCCTGGCTCCTGGGGCTCCCCTGCCCTCTCCGTGGTGCTGAAAGTCCCAGCACCATTTGCAGCACGAATCCGCTTTCCCTGGGCCCTGTGGAGCTCTCTCCCCTTTCCCCCAGGCTCGCCCTTCGACCCCACCTTCCTCCTGGGCTCCGCCGGCTCCAGCATCATCTGCTGCCTCGTCTTCGGCAGCCGCTTTGGCTACAAGGACCAGGAGTTCCTCACCCTGCCGAGCTGCATCAACCAGAACTTTCGCCTGCTGAGCTCCCGCTGGGGCCAGGTGGGGCTGGTGCCGGGGTGGGACCGAGTGAAAGTCACCCCCGTGATGGATGGACAGAGAGCTGGGGGTGTCAGGGCAGGGATGGACGGATGGACAGATAGAGGGGTGTGTAGGGGGGTGGATGGATGGATGGATGGACAGAGGGGTATTCATGGGGAAGGCGGGAGGGGCGGATGGACGGAGGGGTGTGTGGGGGGAAGGCGGGATGGGTGGATGGATAGAGGGGTGGGGGGAGGCGGGATGGATGAATAGACACACAGACAGATTCTCTTTGTTCTGGATTTGGACACGTGACCCCCCGTTTCGGTGTCCGGACCCACTGAGATCCCAGCTGCTCCTGGCTATTTTGCTGGCCGCCCCCTGGGTGCTGGGCATGTGCCCTCACCAGCTCCCCCCGTGCCCGTCTCTTGCAGCCCTACAACACGCTCCCGCCCCTCCTGGCCGCTCTGCCGGGCCGCCCCACGCCATGTTCCACAACGCGGATGCCCTCAAGCGCCTTGTCTCGGAGAGAGCGAAGCGGCCCCAGGACTCGCTGGGTCCCAGCTCTCCCGACAGCTACGTCGACTGCTTCCTGCTCCAGACGGACCAGGTTTCGGAGCAGCCCCAGGGATGGCCCTGGGCGAGGGGGCGGGAGATCTGAGTTCAGTGCCCCCCTCTCACAGGCCCCCTGGGTGACCCCGGGGAAATCCCAGCACGCCGGGGCCCTAATCTCGGCCGGGGTCTGAGCAGCGCCTGGCATGACGGGGCCCTGATCTTTGCCTTGGGTGATGCTGTTTTGTATTGTCACCCCTGGTTCCTGTCGGTCCCTCCTGCTTCTGATGGAGCCTCTGTTCTTCCTTAAATCCACCGTCTCGTGTTTTATTGTAAGTGCTCCCCAGTGGCCTGTTTTCCGGGTGCTTTAAGGGAAAAGCGGTGAATGGTTGCTGCTTTGGGGGCAGAGCGGCTGCGATTTCCATGAGAAGTCGGCATCAGGGGCTGGCTAGCACAGGGGACTTGGGGCTTGGGGGCCACCTCTTGGGGCCCAGCCCAGAGGAGAGGCCTTGGATGGACCCCAGGCTGGTGCTGTGTGGGCACTCATGCCTAGCTGGCACCAGCAAGATCCCCGTCACTCAAGGCTGGGGGGGTCACAGTCCTGGGTACCCCAAGAACCATCCCAGTCTCTGTTTAGCGCTGTGCTCCTCGCCCACCCCCCCAGGAAAAGCAGAACCCTGACACCGAGTTCACCACCGAGAACTTGGTCATGACGACGCTGGAGTTGTTCTTTGCCGGGACGGAGACGGTCAGCACCACCCTGAGATGCGGGATCCTGCTTCTCATGAAGTATCCTGAGATAAAAGGTAGGGCGGGGGGAGGTGCTAAGGTGCTGGCCTGGGACTTGGGGGCCCTGGGTTCAAGTCTTGGCCTTGCTCGGTGCCTCGGTTTCCCCATCTGTGACACAGAGATCACACTTCTCCCCTGTGCTGCGAAGGGGAAACCCATGGGTGTTTCTGACAGGGCTCAGGTCTGATAAGAATACGGGGCACGGGCCCCGGCTGGCGTGATTCGGTGCTGCAGTAAGTGATGCCAGCCGAATAGCAGGCTGCGATGGGGTGAGCTGCCCCTTTCAGGGTAGCGGTGTCCAGGGTTAGCTCACCCCTGTTGTGTGCTGGGGCCCTTTAAGAGTTCAGGGTGCTGTGATAGGCAAAGGACGACAGGAGAAAGGCTCCCGTCGGGTCAGCGACAGGCTGCGTATCCCGAGACGGGCCTGGAGACAGAAGCTGCCGGGTTGGAGGAGGAGCAGGCGGGAGCCAGAGCAGCCCGGTGCCGCTGGGGAAGATCCTGGCGCAAGCTGTCCGGAGAGCGGGAGCTGCCTGGGGGAGGGCAGAGATGTGCCCCTGGGAGCAGAGCGCTCGGTGCCACTCCAGAGCCCGGGGCAAGGTGAAGAGCAAGAGACGCATGACGACGCGGCGGCCCCAGCTGGAGGGAGCTGGAGAGGAGGCAGCCAGGCTACTGGGGCCGTGGCTCGGCGGGACACCCGAGGCAACACCAAGGGGTGTTGTGACGGCGGTCGCAGAAGCACCAGGTCCCCGAGAATCAGCGGGTGGAAAAGTGAGAGGAACGGGACCGCGTCGCTGAGCGGAGAGCCAGCCGGGACGCAATGGAGAGGACGGGGTCTCCTGCCCTGAAGAAGAGAAACGAGACTCTCCCATTCAGAGAGCAGGAGCAGCACAAAGAGGGCAAACCTGGGGGTCAGGGTGAGCTAGGGTGACCAGACAGCAAGTGTGAGAAATCGGGACGGGGGTGGAGGGTACGTGTACGTACTGGGGTGGGGCGTGGTGGACTCCTGAGCAGGAGGCAGTCCTAACGAAGCTTAAACAGGGTCCCAGGCCTGTTTCAATAGGGTGAAAGGGCCAGACTGTCTAGTGGCCCCACAGATTTCTGGCCCCATGGAGGCCAGTGGAGCAATGCCAGATTACACCCCCTGGGAACTTGGCCCAACGGTACCCATCCAAACCTGCAATGTTGCCTGCAGAAATACAGTGGAGATAGGTTGGGTTCCCTCTCCCTCACACCAGTTTGAATCTGGAGTCACTCCATTGCTGGTAGCAATAGTAGGCTGTTATCTTCTATGTCACTGGGGTTTTGTCTGTATGGGAGCTAGTGCGAGTGGAGGATTCAGGCCATCGTTCCCGCCACCCCAGCCTTTGGGCTCAGTCTTGTTCCTCTCGGTGCAGAGAAAGTTCACAAGGAGATTGTCCAGGTGATTGGGCGGTCCCGCCTGCCGGCAACCGAGGACCGGAGCCACATGCCCTACACCGACGCCGTGATCCACGAGGTGCACAGATTCGCCGACGTCATCCCCATGAGCCTCCCGCACATCACGACCCAGGACGTCCAGTTCAGAGCATACGTGATCCCCAAGGTCGGGCTCCTGGTGCCAGGGCGAGGGCAGGGCCAAGGTGCTGGGGAACTCTGAGATCTCTTGCTGTCTCAGGACCAACTCTGCCCCCTCCAGCTCCTGGTCCATTGAAGTCCATGGAAAGACCCTCCGTGGGCTTTGGATGACTCTGCCAGACCATTTCACCCAGGCTTTCTCGGTTACCCACCATGCGATGCACTGGATTGGCAGCCTCGGTCCCTTCAAGCCATGTGCTGAGTCCAGCCAGCTGCCCCCTCCCCCCGAACCTTTGACATGGGAGGCGGGCACGTCAGGCGTGAGGTAGGGAAGGTTCTGGCCAGAGGTAAAGCAGAGTTAATTGAAATGGGGGTGGGGGGACTGGGTTTTTTGTGTGTGTGGAAAATTTTGATGAAAACTGGGGAACATTTCAATTTTGGGGCAAAAATTTGAAACCTGAAAATTTTGGGCTGAGAACTGAGACATTTCAATCCCAAAAGGCTGCTGCAAAGCTTCATGGGAGATGTAGTTTGAGTGCCGCATGTCCCATTCTCCTCTACAGGCCAGGCTTCCTGATCAGACTACACCTCCCATGGTGTACCACAGCATCCCCTCTTGGACAAGGGGAGGCACTGCCTCATGGGAGTCCTTGGCCATGGTGCACCATGGGAGATGTAGTTTGGGTTCCTTATGCTCCCTTTCTCCTTTATAAGCCGGGCTTGCTGGTCAGACTACATCTCCCATGTTGCACCACCGTGTCCCCGCTTGGACGAGGAGAGCTGGTGCATCCTGGGTGTCCCTAGCCATGGTGCATCATGGGAGATGTAGTCCATCTGGAAAGCCTGGCCCATAGGGGAGAATGGGGACACGAAACAACCAAACTACAATTCCCATGGCTGGCGACCCACACGATGCTCTGACTGTCCCCAGCTGGTGTCCATCCTCTGCACAGGTGGGCGGTTGCTCTGCTTCACCAGATGTGTGCAGGGTGAAGGCCAACCACTTAGCAAAAGGGGATGGGCCGTGGGATGGAAATGATGGGAAGACGACCCTGGGCTCGGCTGGTGCCCCCCCCACCCACGTCAAGGGGTAGGATGTGTTGGCCCTGTCTGCGACCCGTCATCTCCCAGGTGGTTTTCTCTGTTACCAGGGCACCACCCTCATCCCCTTGCTGAGCTCAGTCCTCTGGGATACAAGTCAGTTCAAAAACCCGGATGTCTTTGACCCCGGGCATTTCCTGGATGGGAGCGGGCACTTCCAGAAGAGCAATGCCTTCATGCCATTCTCTGCAGGTAAGAGGTGTGTATTCACATTCAAGAGTGGGTGAGGCCTAGTGGTTAGAGCAGGGGGGCTGGGAGCCAGGACTCCTGGGTTCTCTCCTGGCTCTGGGAGGAGAGTGGGGTTCAGTGGTTAGAGCAGGGAGGCCGGAGCCCAGACATCCTGTTTCCCTGCTCTGACTGTGTCCTGGTCTCGCTCAGAGCTGGGGCTGGAACCTGGCGCTCTGGCCCAGCTATGCCGCGTCCGTCAGTACTTACTCCTCGGGTTTCCCTCTAACCCCGCTTGCCATCCTGTCTCCTCTCCCAGGCAAGCGGGTGTGCGTGGGCGAGAGCCTGGCACGCTTGGAAGTCTTCCTCTTCCTCCCCGCCATCCTGCAGGGCTACACCTTGGAGCCGCTCGGCGACCCGGGCACCCTCGGCACCAGCCCTGTGGAGAGCGGGCTAGGGAACATCCCCCACCCCTACGAACTCAGGCTGCTCCCTCGCTAGAGTGCGCCCCGCGTCAAAAGCCCCCCATAAAGCCGAGGACCATGTGTGGTGCAGTCACCCCTACTTCAGAGAGGCTAGACCCCTGCCCCCCCTTCCAGCCGAGGCCCCACCCCTTCTGCCTAAGGTCCCACCCCACACCGCCCCTTCTGCCTCCCCACTCTCGCTGGCCAGCCTGCCAGTGCAGCCCCGAACCCCAGCCAGCCCGTCGCAGTCCAGAGGAGTCTCAAGTCCCCGCCAGCCCGCCGGGGTTGAGCTCTGAGCCTGGGCCACCCAGAGGAGCTCTGAGCCCTGCCGATGAGCCCCTGGAAGAAACACAGGGTAGAAAACAAGCCCTCATTAAGCAGACTGCTGATTTGTGTCACGTTCCTTCCTTGGGGTTCTCTGGGAGGAAAAGGACGAGGAAGTTGAATTTGATGTTTGCAGAGTTCTAGGAACCAATCTCAACAACCCCGACTAGCTGCATAGCGAGACGAAGGGGCAGCATGGTGAGATTTTTATTGGCACGTGTCGTTAAACGTCCATTTCGCCGCCCATGCAAACCGATGAAAAAACCTGTACATCCAAATTCCCAGCTAGGCAAAGTCAGCAAGAGGCTGCGTGAGAATGTCTCGGAGCATGAGCTGGGCCCAGGTATCCACCGGGCTCTAGTTATAAAACCTTAGAGCTTTGAATCTCATCATCTATTGTCATTAAGTAATCGTTGTCTGCTTCCCCCCACTCTCTGACCTCCCTGCCCCTTATTTCCCACAACTGTGAAAATTTAAATTGATACAACTAGGGGAAAATGCTTAAAACCCCGCATTTTGAGCAACTGGGAACATTTACATTAAAAAAATGCTTAAAAAGAAACACCAATATAATCCATCAGAAGTCTAAGAAAAATTCTGCTAAGCCTAGATCTAAGAAGGCAAAGATAGCTTTGGAGGTTGGAGGGTTGGGGGTTTGGCGAACGTAAACGGGCGAATTGGTCAGTTCAACGACCAGCTGGGTTTTCGGAAGCCAGTAACACGAGCGCAATAGGAAACGACACGTCTCCTCGCCCACTAGCCTGGGAAAGTGACTTCGTTTCGGGTTTTGACTGAGTCCCTCACAACCAGGCCTCATGTGGGCTAATTGGTTCTTGGCTTTTGCTAACATCACAGAGGAAAAACCACCCGAAGCTAAAGCGTTAAGACAATCTTGTCACTGGCTTACCCAAGGGCTCCTTCTCCAGGCAGCTACGGTGATCAGCCTTTTAACCTACCTCTCCATCAGCCCAGGAGCCAGGAGGTTGGTACCTGGGTCAGTGGTTAGACACTGAATAAACCGGACTTTAGATTGATCTATTACCCGGTGCAGTGACATATTAACCCAGGGCTTTCTAGCCCGGCCAGCTGGATCATAACACCCCTTGGAAGCTGGAGGGAGTAGGGGAAAGATCTGGGAGCTGGATGGAAGGGGGAGACTGAGGCAAACCCAGGGGGGTGTGGTGTGAGAGGAGGGTCTGCAGAACTACAGGAGACATGGGAACAGGCCAGCAGGGTGTGTAGCAGGAGAGATGGTGGGAGGGATGAATGGATGGAGGGATGGAGGGAGGGATGGATGGCCAGCAGGATGTGTAGTTGGAGGGATGGTGAGAAGGATGGATGGCCAGCAGGGTGTGTAGCAGGAGAGATAGGTGGGAGGGATGGATGGATGGAGGAAGGGAAGGAGGGATGGATGGCCAGCAGGACACGTAGCAGGAGAGATGGGTGGGTGGTCCCATGTATCTCTAGCATATGGAGGTTTAGCCATAGTTCCATGCTCCGGTCCAGCAGGGAAGGAGATGGAGCCAAGGCTACCATGGCCAAGCCCCCCTCCGCTGACGGATGCTCAGAAACTCACCCCCTTGCCCCCATCCCCATCTGTGCAGATGCGGGATAAGTACGGCCCGGTGTTCACGGTGCACCTGGGCTCCTGGTGGGTGGTGTTGTGGGGCTACCAGGGGGTGAAGGAGGCCCTGGTGGACCAGGCCGAGGAGTTCAGCGGGCACAGGGGATGCCGGTGTTCTCTAAGGATTTCAACGGGCATGGTGAGCGCTCTCCTCCCGGGTCCCCGCTTGGCGTCTCTGGCAGCGTCCCGTGTGCAGGGGTGAAGGCAGCAGGGCGGTGTAGCGGGCAGGATCCTGGAGACCTGGGTTCTGTTCCCCTCTCAGCCGCTTGATGCGGGCAAGTCACTTTATCTCTCTGTTCACTGCAGCCCTAGGCGGGGTCCTGGCGCTGTATAAACACAGAACCGACCCAAAGGGCCTGCCATCGCCATAGAAACTATGCACATTCATTTCAGGCTGACCGCAAATGAGAATTTTTTGGCAAACTGAAAACAATTTGAGACTTTCATGATGGGTCGCGCGGACTGATTCACTTCAGACTTTTCACCTTTAAAACGACTGAGAAGCCGTTGCTAACGGAAAAAATCAAACTGTTTTGTTTTGAAACTGTTTTTTCAGAATTTTTTGTTGGCTGGAACAATTTGGCGAATTCAATGTGACTTCGCTGCATGTTTTGGTTAACCCCCAATCTGCATATTTGGGGGAACATTTCATCCGAAAAATTTTGCTCTGCTTGAGTAGCTACTCTAAGAGTTTACTAGGACTGGTTGAAAACTTCTCATTGAAATGTTCTAGTCTGGCAATAAATTCAGTTTCTGACACCACAGATCTTTCTGGGGGAAACGTCTGCTTTCCTTGAAACCTTTTCTTTTAATGAGGAAAATTCTCATTTTTTTGGCAGCAGGGTTTTGACTTCAAACCTTCAGCTCACCTCTCAACTCCGTGAGTTTACGGAGTAATCCCATTCGCTGGCAGCAGTAGTAGGTTGTCATCCTATCAGTGAACCAGCCTTGAGGCAGGACACATACTCTGCCAGGGTGTTGAATCAGCAGGGTGGGCCAATAACTGCAGCCACTGAGCATGTATCCTAAAGGACGGACCTTTGCTAACAGCACCCTTTAGGGAGGCCGGATGGCCTAGTGGATAGAGCCCAGGACTGGGACAGTCTGCCACTCCTTGGGTAACTTTGGGAAAGGCACCTCCCCGTCTGTGCGTCCATTTCCCCACCTGGATAACGATACCGACCTGCCTTGGTGTGGCGCTGGAGGGGACGAGCTGGATAAGAGCTAGGCGGGATGGTGATGTTTATATCTTTCTCCAGGAGAAGCAGAATCCAGCTACTGAGTTTTCCCTGGCCTTGGCCACCTTCAACTTACTCTTTGCCAGGACCGAAACTACCAGCACTGCCCTGCTCTATGGCCTCCTGATCCTGCTGAAACACCCGCAGGTCCAAGGTAAGGCGGAGAAGTGGCTTAGTTGGGATTTCCCCATTCCCCTTGGGGAAAACCCCACAGAAAGCCCAGCTGTGGCTCCATTGACGTCAGTGGAATGAGGATGAGGTAAGGATTTGACCCCTTAGGGCCATAAATAGCCAGCAGTCAGCTCTCTGCCAAGGGCCGGGCCACCCCGAGACAGTGGCTAGGATTCTAGGGATCAGCCTGAGTTATAGTCCAGTAACGGCCCCGCGTGAAACGCTCGCCCAGCGCTGAGCTTTGCCCCCACAGTGAGGCTACTAATTCCCCTCTCTCCCGCCCCCGCAAGAGAAGATCCATCAGGAAACTGACGCAGTGATCGGGAGGGACAGGATGCCGTACATGGACGCCACACTGCATGAGATCCAGTGATTCAGCGATATCCTGCCAATGAGCCTCCTGCATACCGTGACCAGAGACACCCGGTTCCAGGGGTACCTCATCTCCCAGGTGAGGCTGCCCGGGAGAGTGAGCTGAGTGTGAGTCCCATGAGGGGCTGGGCACACCTAAAGCAGTGATTGCCCTGTGGGGGGCTATGATCCGAATCCGGCCCTGACCCCACTGCAGTTGGTGGTGACTCTGGATTGACCCCAGGGAGGCTGAGATCAGAATCCTGCCTGGTCCCGCATTGCACTCACTGGGTGATTCTGGATTTACCCTGGGGGAGCGGAGATCAGAAAACAGTCCCACCGGCAGAGTCCCAGCGGCTAATTCTGTTTTTCCGCTGCTTTCCCAGGGGACGTACGTCCACCCCCTGCTGAGTACTGTGCATTTTGACTCAGAAGAACATAAAACCCCTGAAGCTTTTGCCCCTGAGAGGTTTCTAAATGAGAACGGTTGCTTCAAGAAACAGAATGCCTTCATGCTCCTTTCCGCAGGTGTGTAGTTCTAGGTGTCGTGACGGGGCAAGGCCCGATAGATATATCAGCTCCAGGCTAAACAAATCCCTGGTACCAGGATAAGTGAAATGGCAGCTGCTCCAGGTCAATTAAGACACCTGGGGCCAATTAAGAACTTTCCAGAAGTCAGGGAGAACCATAGGACACCTAGCTGGGGCTGGCTGAAACTAGTTTAAAAGCCTCCCAGTCAGTCAGGTGGGTGTGCACGTCAGGAGCTGTGGGAGGAAGTTGTGCTGTTGGAGAGGCTGAGCAGTACACACCATGTCAGGCACAAGGAAGGAGGCCCTGAGGTAAGGGTGAAGTGGAGCTTGAGGAAGTGGGGGCTGCTGCAGGGGAAGTAGCCCAGGGAATTGTACGTGTCATGTTTCTAAAAGGTCAGCCACCATAGCTGATACTATTAGGGTCCCTGGGCTGGAGCCCGGAGTAGAGGGTGGGCCCGGGCTCCCCACTTCTCCCCCTCCCCCGATTAATCACTGAGACTGGGAGACAACAGCGACTGTGCAAGGGAGGATAACTTCTCCTCACCTCCCTCGCTGGCTTATGATGAAAATGGCTCAGTAGACTGTGACCCTTGTCTCTAGAGAAAGAAGGGTTAGGTGGAGGGTCACGGTGAGCCTCCGAGGCTAGCGAAATCCGTCAGGAAACGCGGGACCCACGGAGGCAGGGACAGAGCTTTGTCACAGCGTCTGGTCATCAAGGAGCGCTGGGCTCTGGTCCTGGCTCTGCTAAAGCCGGCCCGGCTCCTCCGTTTGTTCAGCTGTGAAATGGGGCTAGTGCTTTCCCTCCCCTTCCTGCTTGGGAAGCCCAGAGGCCACGGTGGTGGGGGAAATGATCGGAAGTGGGGCGGGGTGGCTAAGGAGTGGGGCTGTTGCTCTCAGTTTATTTAGGGGCTTGTGAAAATTCCAGCTCAGCTGTGGTCAGTTTTCGCTCTTTCTACTGGCTGCTTCTCACCTACTGTAGATCCCCAGAGCCCCGTGGGAATGTAGGGCTGGAGGGGAACCACGAGGCTCCCGCCTCTGGGGGCTAGAAACTTTCTTCTCATTTCAAGCCTCTGTTGATTCCTGGCCTGGTCATCCCCATTTGTTTCTGGCCTCTAGCTTCAATAACTCTTCCCCCTCCCTGGGGTTTAACCCCTGATGGATTTATACAGAGCGGCCAGATCCCCCCCTGCAGCCTTCATGCTGCTAAGCTGGATGGGCCCAGCTCTTGGATTGTCTTTGGCTGCCCATTAGGTCTGAGCAGTTTAGCCAACCCCCGGCTGGTTTCTGCAAGGAGGAGAAATCGAAGTCAGTGGACAGAGAACACCCACAAAGTCCTGTTTCCCAGCACGCTGGAGAAACAAACAGCAGCGGGCAGTTTCCTGGCTCAGACATTCCCCTGTCTGCCCCTCCAGCGGGCTCTTTGCCCAAAAAGCAGTCTCTCTCTCTCTGATTCCTCCCAGAGGTCCATTCCCAGCTGGGCTCGTCTACCCAGGGAAACTGACCCGAGTCAGCCATCCCCGTGAGGAGCTATTCTGCCATTGCCCTTCCAGTCAATGTTGACGAGGGGTGAGGGGTGAGCGCTCACCTGCTATGCACTTTGGAGTGCCATGGGTTACAGCTGCCCTTCCTCCAGAAGAGAGGAGCGATTGCTCCCCGTAACTCCTTAACGAGCTCTGTGATTGTCTTTGTAATAAGGACTCACCGGCTGGCAGCACCGGGACCAGGCTGATCTGTGGCCCCACCGCAGAGCCTGTCGTCAGTGTGCCCGGCTGATGGCCCCTGGGTCTGAGCCCCCAGGTTAGCCCAGCCCAGGCATGAGCAGCCCCCCGGGGTGACTGTGTCCTCGCTGGTGCCACGCTGACCCGTGTGGGTTGCTAGGACTTGGGGGGCAGCTCTCCTGGGTTAATGCTGCAGGGAGCAGAGCTGCCCGGATTCTGTCCAGTGAACGGTGGGAGAGCTGGCTTGTCTGGGGCGGGGCAGGCGCTGGCGGAGTACGGGTGCTGGATGGCCTTAGCCTGCATTCACACCGCAAAGTGGGCAGTGGGCTAACGACGTGGGCTCTAGCCCAGGTGGGAGGGATTATGGGGAAAAGCCCCAGTAAGAGCCAGGACTGACTCAGCTGCAGCCCCAGCCCCCTAGATTGCACAGTGATTGCTGGGCCCGGCTGCTCGGTGCTAACGACGTGTTATTGCCCAGGGAAGTGGGTGTGTCTGGGCGAGGGCCTGGTCCGCATGGAGCTCTTCCTCTTCTTCACCACGGTCCTGCAGCGCTTCGCCCTCAGCTCGCCCGTTGACCCCCAGCAGCTCAGCCTGGCTCCTGGCGTCAGCAATCTAGGGAAGGTGCCACAGTGCTACCAGCTCTGCCTCCGCCAGCGCTGACGGGGGTAGGGTTGCCAACTCTCCGATTGCTGGAAACCAAACACTCCTGCCCCGCCCCTTCTCTGAGGCCCTGCCCCTTCTCAGAGGCCCCGCCCTCTGTTCACTCCATCCCCCTCCCTCCTTCGCTCACTCTCCCCAACCTGCTTACTCGCTCATTTTCACGGGGTTGGGGGGGTTGGGGTGCAGGAGGGGATGAGGGCTCTGGCTGGGGCTGCAGGCTCTGGGGTGCGGACAGAAATGAGGGATTTGGAGTGTGGAAGGGGGCTCCCGATTAGGGCAGAGGGCTGGGGTGAGGGAGGGGGTTCGGGGTGTGGGCAGCACTTATCTCAGGCGGCTCCCGGAAGTGGCCGGCATGTCCGGCTCCTAGGCATAGGGGCGGCCAGGCAGCTCTGCGCACTGCCCCCATCCGGAAGTGCTGCCCCTGCAGCTCCCATTGACTGTGGTTCCCGGCCAATGGGAGCTGCGGAGCTGGCGCTCGGGGTTGGGGCAGCGTGTGGAGACCCTTGGCTGCCCCTATGCCTAGGAGCTGGACATGCTGGCCACTTTCAGGAGCTGCATGGAGCCAGGGCAGGCAGGGAGCCTGCCTTAGCCCCTCTGTACCACCAAATGGACCTTTAATGGGCCACTCAGCGATGCTGACCGGAGCTGCCAGGATCCCTTTTCGACCAGGCGTTCCAGTCAAAAACCAGATGCCTGGCAACCCTAGACGGTGGCAGGGGGTCCTCACAGCTGCCCCTTGGCCTGTTGGGATTGTTCCATCTCAGATTCACCTCTGAAAGGGTTTTCTGGCCTCCCCCAGCCACTCTGTGTAAAACAGATTTCAGTCGTAGTCTTGTGTACGCTGTGCTCCAGTGGACCCAGCCTGGCATGGGTTACAGGACTCCTGGGTTCCTTCCCCGGCTTGGGGAGGGGAGTGGGGTCTAGTGGGTTAGAGCAGGAGGGCTGGGAGCCAGGACTCCTGGGTTCTATTCCTGGCTCTTGGAGGGCAGCAGAATCTAGTGTGTTAGAGCAAGGAGGGAGGGGGCGGGAAGCTGGGAGTCAGGACTCCGGGGTTCTAGCTATGAAAGGGAGAATTGTCTGGTAGTTAGAGCGGGAGGTGGGATTCCTGGGTTCTGGGTCTAATATTTAGAGCAGGGGGCTAGGAATCAGGACTCCTGGGTTCTATCCTCAGCTTGGCCAGTGACCTGCTGCGTCACCTTGGGCACGTCACTGCCTGCTTCCTCAGTTTCCCCCTCTGTAACATGGCCATAATGTAAGGTCTGAAGTCTTTTTCCACAGTAAGCAGCAGCAGCCGCATGAGGACAGCAGCAGCCATGAGCTAAGCAGCAGAAAGTCACCTCCTCACATCCCTAAATTGCATCAAAGCAGCGTCATCTGGGGCCATGGAGAAGGACCCTGTCCTCGTGGTGTCCACCGCTCCCAGATAAAGACACCGATCTTCAGATGTTTACAGAAAACTTTGGTTGGGAGCACCAGTCTGGCAAGGAACCGCTGTGATTGTGAAATCTATATTGTTTTGCCTTTACGGTCCCCACTTCCCTCTTGTTTCTCTGTATGGTTTCTGGCTGCTTCTGTGACTGTTTCTAGCTGGTGTAGAACTCATTGGGGGAGATTGTTCCTGTCTCCTTTTGGAAGGTTTAGAGCCACTAGGTGGGTGGGGTGGGATGGGCTGAAGAATTGTTTCGCCATCTGTTAGGATTGGTCACAGAATTATTTTGGAACATTTTAGTAAAACGCTTGGCTAAGGTCTAGCGAAGCAGGACTCAAGTTTAACAATAGAAACCAGGGTTCCAAAAGAAGTTCTTTGGAACCAACTCCAGGACCCAGCCCAGGATCCGAGCTGCCAGACCTCAACCCCCTGCCAATGACACCATGCAGAAGCTGGAGTCCCCAGACGAGCTAATTGTGACTGGCCACCGGGAAAAGTTCGTCTGCCTCGTTGGGAGTGGTGAGCAGTGTATCAGCAGTGGGTGCCTTTGGTTTGGTGATTGTTACTAAACAGAGGTGTGGTTTTCATTCAGGAAACACATGGGGTTGAATTTACCTGGGGTTTTAAACTCCTTGGAGTCGAGGCGCAGAACCTGCTGGAAAGGCAGCAGAGCGGAGACGGGGAGTAATTCGGAGTAGACGTACTACTGCTTGGGAGTGACTGCCTAGGACCAAACAAACTTCTGCTCCACGCTGTACTTAGCGAGCAAGGCGCAGCTGGGCCCGCTCCGGGACGGCAGCTGTGAGTGAGCGTAACGCCCGCTGGAAATGAGCTACAATGAGTAGCAAATAGCGAGCTGCAATTGGCAAGTATTGATTAACAATGACTGCTAATTACAAATAAAGCACATTGTAGGCATGTGAGAAATGAGTCAGTACGGACGGTTGAAAATCAATACACAATTAGCAATTAGCTTGTGTTCACAATTAATAAATGCACACACTACTAATTAAGCACATGGGAAATGAATAATTATGGATTGTTAAAAATCAGTAATTAATGATTAGCAATTAGCAAGTATGAATTAGTCATTAGCACTTAATCGACCCAGTTATTAACAGTTAGCAATGTATTGACAATGAAGGCCAGTAACGTCAGGCGTCAGCAATTAATAGTAGCAGGTTAGGGTTAGGACTAAATGAGTGTAAAGCTTTGTTAACAGCAGGCAATGAATATAGAATGTTACCAAGGAACACTAATTGAGAGTAAATCTGAGCAAAGCCCATAGAACGTCACCCGCACTCGGTTCTCTTTGCCCACGGCAGGTCCAGAGGCCCCTGTGGGTCTAGCTCCAGTCGTCTGATCAGCCAGCGCACCGCTGGACGCACTGGGGCCAGACCCTGCGCCGGTGTCAATCAGCCGTAGCTCCATGGGCGTGAGCGGGGCCAGACCCCCAAGCTGGTGCGCGTAGCTCCACTGAAGCCGTGGATGGGGCAGACCCTTGGCGGGTGTCCCACTGAACCAATGGAGCGAGGCTGATTTACACTCACGGAGGCTTTGGCCCCGGGATCTGCAGTGGCTGGAGTTGTACTGATCCCTCTGTTGCCCTGGCCAGCTGGCGGGAAGCCCCTGCTGCCGACGCACTCGGCCCTGCCGGACTAGTCGCCGCAGCTGCATGGCACCACCTGCCACCAGGAACGCCGGCCCGTACGCCACACTCAGCCGCGGAGACGCGAGCGCCGGGGCAGGAACAGGGTGAGGGAGAGACCCTGAGCAGCGGGAGCATCTCCTCTGCCCAGGGGTTGGCTGGCCAGAGCAACGGGGCTGGGATTGATGGCATCGAATCCAAACCCAGACCTGCAGTGTACCTCGGAGAGGAGCCCCAAACCTGAGCTGTAAACATATCTGATTGCAGCTCAGAATCCATCCATCCATTGTATCCTTCCATCCCCATACAGAGCCATCTATCGACCCCATTCACACCCAGCCATCGTTCCCATTCACACCCATCATCCAGCCATCTGTCCCCATTCCACCCAGCTATCTACCCATCACACCTATCATCCAGCCATCTGTCCCCATTCACACCCAGCTATCTACCCATTCACACCCATCACCCAGCCATCTGTCCCCATTCACACCCAGCTATATACCCCATTCACACCCATCATCCAGCCATCTGTCCCCATTCACACCCAGCTATCTACCCCCATTCACACCCATCATCCAGCCATCTGTCCCCATTCCACCCAGCTATCTACCCATTCACACCCATCATCCAGCCATCTGTCCCCATTCACAGCCAGCTATCTACCCCATTCACACCCATCACCCAGCCATCTGTCCCCATTCACACCCATCATCCAGCCATCTGTCCCCATTCCACCCAGCTATCTACCCATCACACCTATCATCCAGCCATCTGTCCCCATTCACACCCAGCTATCTACCCATTCACACCCATCACCCAGCCATCTGTCCCCATTCACACCCAGCTATCTACCCCATTCACACCCATCATCCAGCCATCTGTCCCCATTCACACCCAGCTATCTACCCCCATTCACACCCATCATCCAGCCATCTGTCCCCATTCCACCCAGCTATCTACCCATTCACACCCATCATCCAGCCATCTGTCCCCATTCACAGCCAGCTATCTACCCCATTCACACCCATCACCCAGCCATCTGTCCCCATTCACACCCAGCTATCTACCCCCATTCACACCCATCATCCAGCCCTCTGTCCCCATTCCACCCAGCTATCTACCCATTCACACCCATCATCCAGCCATCTGTCCCCATTCACAGCCAGCTATCTACCCCATTCACACCCATCATCCAGCCATCTGTCCCCATTCACACCCAGCTATCTACCCCATTCACACCCATCATCCAGCCATCTGTCCCCATTCACACCCAGCTATCTACCCCCATTCACACCCATCATCCAGCCATCTGTCCCCATTCCACCCAGCTATCTACCCCATTCACACCCATCATCCAGCCATCTGTCCCCATTCACAGCCAGCTATCTACCCCATTCAAACCCATCATCCAGCCATCTGTCCCCATTCCACCCAGCTATCTACCCATTCACACCCATCTGTCCCCATTCACAGCCAGCTATCTACCCCATTCACACCCATCATCCAGCCATCCCTATACAGAGCCAGCATCCATCCATCCATCCTCCTACACCCCCAGCCATCCCCACACACATCTCTCTCTCTCTCTCTCGCTCGGGAACAGCACCCCTCTAGTGCAGTGTGTTCAGAGAATTAAGCTCTGTGGGTAGGGTGACCATATTTTCCCAAAGGGTAAACGGGATGCCACGTGGGGCTGGCCCAAGACCCCCTGCCACTCCTGAGCGGTTCTCCTGAGCCCTCCCTCTCACGCAGGACCAGCATTGCCGCTGGCCCCCTCTGCCCCCACCCCGCACGTCCCTCCGCGCCCTGCCCTGATCAGCACTTGGCAAGAGCGAGCGGGACAAATGCCCAGTTTTGCCCCAAAAATGGCTTAAAAGGACTTACGAAAGGGACTGTCCCGGCCCACCCGCTATCTATGGAACTCGTTAATAAAAAGCCCCATAGAGCCTGGCTCGGCTCTGTGGCTCCTTGCTCCGGCGTGTGTTTGACTTTATGTCCGAGGCTACAGCCCAGGGACTGAAGTTAACGCCAAGCCTGTGCTGGGTGGAATAGGGGGAGGCTAGGCCCTGGCGGGACCAGGGCCTGGGCTGAGCTCCCAGCCAGCTGTGGGGGAGAAACCCTTTCCCTGTACTTTGTGGAGCGGTTTGGACCCGTTCCTAGCCTTCAGCTGCAGCAAATTCCCTATGGTGGGGAACGGAGCAGGGCTGGCTGGGCTGGTCCCACTCCGGTGCATTCCCCTCTGTGCAGACAAGATGAGCAGGCGGTAGATGCAGATGTCCAGGAAAACCCTCCTGGTCCCTAGCTCCCTTGTGGGGGTTCCTGTGCTAATCGGGGCTGCGCCAGGAATGCATGTGGCCCTGCAGGGTAAACAGGCACGGACGGGGTTTTAAACGCAACATGGCTGGAGCTCCCGTAACTCACGCCCTGCACCACCCACACGCACAACTCCCCCTCGCTGTGAGACGGGAACAACGGATCAGCCCGTCTCGCTCGCCTCCCGGGCTTACTGGAGGTTCTTCAGGGAGCCAGGTGCCGACGGGGCCCTCAGATGTGTCGTCTGGAATGTTTTCCAAAGGTCCGATCCAGGAAAGACCCCTATTTCAGAGCGCTGAACGGGTTGTTACAAGGAGGAGGGAGGTTGTTCTCCTTAACCTCTGAGGATAGGACAAGAAGCAATGGACTTAAATTGCAACGACCGCGGCTTAGCTTGGACATCAGGAAAAACTTCCTGACTGTCAGGGTGGTTAAGCACTGGAATAAATTGCCTAGGGAGGTTGTGGAATCTCCATTATTGGGATTTTTAAGAGCAGGTTGGACAAACCCCTGTCAGGGGTGGTCTAGATAATCCTGAGTCCTGCCTTGAGTGGAGGGGACTGGACTAGATGACCGCTCAAGGTCCCTGCCTGTCCTACGATTCTCTGATTCTCTGTGCTCAAGGGCTGTCCCGAGTAGCGATGGGTTCAAGCACATGCTTAAATGCTTTCCTGAATTGGGACCAAAGGCTTGTGACCTGCTCATGCCCCACATAAGCCTTCGACATGGAGTTTAACTGGTGCCCCCAGAACTGACCCCACTGCACAGAGTTAATTCTGCCCTTCTGATCACCTGCTGGTGGTGCCACATGGGATGAGGGTTAATGGTTGATGAAGGCACACAGATAAGAAAGACAATGGCCTTTGGGTCATTCCCCAGACCGAGATCAGGCCCCATCGGGCCGGACGCTGCCCAGATCCCAGCCAAGATCTGGGCCCCGTTGCACCGGGTGCTGCCCAGACCCAAAGTGAGAGACAGTCCCTGTCCCAAAGAGCTCCCAATCAAACCAGACAAAGGATTCTCTTATGACATTTTCACTTTCTTCCTGGGTTGGAATTGCTCCTACTTGGTAATTCAGGTCACAGTCTGAGCCAATGGGCCTGTGTGACGATGCGGGACTGTTCTTAATGTTTCCTCTGAATATTGTGGGGGTGCCTCAGTTTCCCCTAGGCAGTTCTTAAGTCTCCAGGGGGTGGGGTAAGGGTGTATGATCGTTGCAGAGCCCTAGAGGGCAGGTGTGTGCAGGGGTCTGGACACAGAGAATGGCCGACACCCTGTTTCCTGGCAACTGATGGACTGGGTCCTTCCCCCCTGCAAGGTGAGAGCTGAAGGGTTGGAGAACAAAGGAATCCGGTGACCTCCTGGCCCGGAAAAGGAACAAAGCCCAGAGGAGGAGGGACTGGAGAGAGTTTCAGTTTGGGGCTGGCTGGGACATGGAGTGAAGTGCAGACGTGGTTGTCTGGCTCACTGCCCCCCAAAATGGACCCGGCTGAGGGGTCCGGTTCTCTTCACCTGCAAGCTCTGTGTTAGACCATGTTCCTGTCGTCTAATAAACCTTCTGTTTCCCCGGCTGGCTGAGAGTCCCGTCTGACTGCGGAGTTGGGGGGCAGGACCCTCTGGCCCCCCCAGGACCCCGCCTGAGCGGACTCGCTGTGGGAAGCGCAGGGAGGGGCAGAGGAGGCTGAATGCTCCGAGGTCAGACCCAGGAAGGGGGAAGCCGGGGGAACTTTTTGCTCCTGCCCCAGCTGCTGGGATGGGGTAAGTGTGAATGAGGCCATGGTCTTGAGGGGGTTTCATTGTGACACAGCAGCAGCAACACCGGACCTTTTGCCCTACGTCAGTGGTTTTCAACCTGTGGGCCGCAGCCCCCTGGGGGTCCGCAGCCTATGTCTGAGATTTGACAGGGTCCCCACCTCCCATCGAAATTTTTCAGGGGTCTGCAAATGAAAAAAGGTTGAAAACCCCTGGCCTAGGGCCATGCAAAAAGCACACGATTTCGGCATCACAAATCCTCATGTTTTCTGGGTCTCCGCTCGCTCATGTTGATCACACCAACTATCTGTCCAGGCTGGCCAAAGGCCGGGTCGCCTGCTGCCAACCCGTGGCGGGAGAGTGGCCTGTCCCTGGGAGCTGGTTTCCGGGAATGTTCGTTGCCTCTCAACCGCTTGACCCTTTGCTAACGTGTCCATGGAGCGGTCAGAGGCCCCGGCTCAACGTGTGTTCCTTGCTTGTGACCCGATCCATGGGAGACTTTCTGGTGCTGATTTCCCCCGCTTTGTGCCTGTGGTCGGCTCGAGAGCTCAGGGATATTTTTGCAGCGAATAGTGAATTTGCCCCAGAAATGCAGAGTTGGGGGAAGCTAAACTGACCATGAACTTGGGTCAAATTCAGTAACTAGTTTGGTCTGGAAAAAAAATTGACCCCTCCCCTCTCCCCTCCTACCCCCCCCCCCCCCGACAAAACAGCTGTTGACCCTTTCAAAACAGAGTTTTGCCTTTTCATTCAGTTTGGCAGCTGAGCTCTAGATGTTTAAAGGAAGCTGACGAACCAAAAGGGTAAAAGCCGCCCAAAGTGGAACAGTGGAAAACGTTCATTTTGGATCAAAAGGCACCTCGAAAAAATAAATGACACCCCCCCGCCCATTTCATTTCTTTTTTTTTTTTTCATTTTGGGTGGTTTTTTCCTTGGTTTTTCATACAGGTTCACTTTCAGATTGAAACGAACTGATATTCCCCCCGGCCCTCAGCTCTCGGCACCAGGGACAAAGTGAGTGCGAAGCTTGACCCATCTGTAGCGTGTTACATTCCCCTTTGCACTGCTGAAAGTGACCACAGCCCCCGACCGGGATCAGGGCCCTCTTGTGCCGGGCTTGGGTGAGACAGGGTGAGAGCCTGTCCCTGCCCCAAAGAGCTCCTGGTCTGAAGAGAGACATGCACAAGGCCACTGAGCAGGTCGGTAGCAGAATCAGGATTAAAGCCCAGGTCTCTGGACGCTCAAGACAGCGCTCTAGCCTCTAGGCCACACTGCCACCATTTCTAGATGGTGAATTTAAACAGAGACCTGGGGGGGAGGGATAGCTCCGTGGTCTGAGCATTGGCCTGCTAAACCCAGGGTTGTGAGTTCAATCCTTGAGGGGGGCCATTTAGGGATCTGGGGCAAAAATTGGGGCTTGGCCCTACTTTGAGCAGGGGATTGGACTAGATACCTCCTGAGGTCCCTTCCAACCCTGAGATTCTATGATTCTATGAAAAAGCGATGCATGCGGGCTGAGCCCTCACAACTGAAGGCAATGAAGAGCGACATTGTGATGCAGTGAGCTGTAGCCCACGAAAGCTTATGCTCAAATAAATTTGGTAGTCTCTAAGGTGCCACAAGTCCTCCTGTTCTTTTCATGCAAAAGGTCTCTTGGAAGGAATCGTTACAAAGCTTATAATCTCCTGAGTGTGGTCATCCTATTTGTATAAATGTATCACTCTTGTGTCTGAAACTAGGAATATGAAATATAACTCTGAGGGCCTATTGTAATTATGCAAAGTGTGGGCCACTAATGGTGGTCTGGAATCTTGATGGCTCCCATTGACCAGGACAATTGACTGTAGATGGCTGTTTACTGCCCTTTCCCCGCCCACCTGCTCTGGGGAGAGGCTCGTTGGCAATCAATAATCAAGGCTCGGCATAATTAGTGGGGGTCTGACCCACTCCAATTTATTAGCTAATTCAAAGAGCGCAGCTAAGCCAGCTTCTGTGGGTGTTAGCACGGGAGTTACCTGAACAGTGACCAAACCTATGAAACCCTGAAACTGGGCCCTGCAGCCGTGAGGTTCAGAGAACCTGCCTGCAGCCTGGCCCAGCTCCACCCCAGACTGCTGTGACTGATTTCCCACTGCACAGTCCGGGCTTTGCTGCTTATTCAGCATCTCCCGGTTGCGTGTGGTTTGCACACGGCTTACTCCATCAAGAGAACAGCGCGCTGGCTTAAAAGACTGCCTCCTAGTGCGAGCAGCAAGCCATTATTAAGCATCGTGCTACTCTGGCTAACGGACTAGCTACGAGGCCTAGCAAGAGACTGACCCGTCAGTAAATAGACTCTTGGAGCAGCCATGGCCAAGTGCGGGAGAGGGGGTGGGTGGGTGTGTGTGTGTGTGCAAAGCAAAGGTGTCAGGGAGCTGTGATTCCCTTGCCCAGTGGGGAAATACAAGCTATCCTCTACCCGAAGTGGGACTTTCACACAGCCAGATCCCCCACTGGCTCCTTTTTCGGATAGGGCCAGTTCTCCATCTAATGAAGGTCTGGTTCCTTTGTGTTTCTCCCTCCCCCAGGCTGCCCCGAGAAGTCCCGTCTGTTTCCGTGGGGCGGCTAGCGCGGGACCAGACAGATCTCGTAGCTGCAGGGCAGGGCGGCGAACCCGATCAGCTTCGGGGAGATGTCGATGTCTTTGGGCTCGACGGGGGAGCGGAAGCGGAAGTTTTGCAGGATGCTGGTGAGGAAGAGGAAGAGTTCCATGATAGCCAGCATCTCCCCGAAACAATACCGTTTCCCTAGGAGAGAAGACAGAGGAGGCGTCATGGGCTGGCCGGAGCAGGGTTCCGGGGGCAGGTGAGAATCTGGGAGGGGGTCTCACCCCTTGTCCCAACTCTGCCCCAGCCTGGAGCAATGGGGATTGTTGGGGAGATTGGGCACCATTCGTTTGAAGATCTAAAGAGGGGAGGCCGCATTACTTTGCTGTGCTGGGAGGGGTTAATGAGGCAGATCTTTGAGCTATAGACAGTCACTGACTTCGGGAAAGCGGCCGGACGCTCTGAGCACTGCAGCTGGGCAAATAACAGGGGAGAAAAGTCCCCCTGCTCTGTTCAGTGATCCTGACCTGGGACGGACTGCGAGGACCCAGGAGGATGGAGAAATAGCACACTCAGGATGGAGATATTACCATCTGAATGGATCACTGTGATCATCTCGCCTGACCTCAGCAAAGCACATACAGGAGAATCTCACTCAGTTACTTCCGCTACTGAGCCCAGTAACCTGTGTTTAATTAAAGCATCTCTTCCGGAAAGGCAGCCAGCCTGGATCTGCAGCGTCCAAGCGATGGAGAACGGCCCCCCCGCCCGACTCCTGGGAAGCTGTTCCGGGGCTAATTCCCCCCAGTGTTAAAAATTTGCACTTTAATTCGAGTTGGAATTTACCACCAAGCTTCAGCTTTTGGTCTTTGGCTCCCGTTCTGCCTTTGCTAGATTAGGGACCCCGCTGCTGTCAGAACCCAGTTCTCCTCCCAGGCGGTGCTGATAGACCGGGATCAAGCCACCCCTTAACCTCCTCTCCACTCAGCTCCTGGAGTCTTTCTGTTCGGCAGCTTTTCCAGACCTCCAATGCAGCCTGCTGCTCTCCTCTGAACCCTTTCCAGTTTGTCAGCACCTTGTGTGAGGCGTGGACACCAGAACTGGACACGGTGTCCCAGTCCCGGTCTCACCAATGCTGCATTCAGAGGTAACGTCACCGGTCTACTCCTGGGCCATGTTCCCCATGGCTCCCTGGGCAGGAACACGCCTGATCGCACCATTGGGAGACTTGTATTCACTGGTGTGAGGAGCAAACGATCGAGCCAAAACGAGAAAAAGAACCAAGCAACTCCTGTGGGGTGGCCCACAGATGATAATGACCCCAGGTGTGTCTGTCGGCCTCACCCGAGTTCAGGGCACCATTGTGCTAGGCTCTGGACAGACCCACAGGGAGAGACAGTCCCTGCCCCAAAGAGCTCACAAGGCCCTGCTTCCCCACGGGACTTCAGTGCACACTGACCCCTGCGTGTGTGTGAACAGCCCCCTTGACCGCAATGGAGTGACATTGATTTACACCAGCTGAGGATCTTGCCCCACTGACTCCAATGGAGTGGCACTGATTTACACCGCCTGAGGATCTGGCCTCACAATTCTCCGTACACAAATTCAGCTCAGCGGGGTGAGGACTAGCAGCCGGGGGGCTGGGCCAGGCCTAGATCTCGCTGCTTGGGACGCTCGGAACCAAGCTCTGCTAAGGGATTCGTACCTATTGAGAAGGGCACGAAGGCGTCGCTCTTCTTAAACTGGCCGTCCCCATCCAGGAAATGGCTGGGGTCGAAGGTGTCGGGGCTGCTGAATTGCGTGGGGTCATACAGCACGGATCCCAGCACCGGGTACACCTCCGTCCCCTGGGGGAAGAGACGGTGACAAACAGCAACGATTAAACGCCGATAACCCACAGCACTGGATGCTGGGGCACAATTCAGGGTCATTCTAACCATGGGAGGAATTTGCAATACAAGCCGATATCAAAATTCAAGTGGCCAGGAGAGGCCAGCATCCAAGGTTCATATCTTGTGTCTCCAATGCCCTCTGCTCTGGGGACTGCACGCTGCTCCTCCCAGAGTGGGGAAGGGAACCCAGGAGTCTGGATTCCTCATTTTCACCACTGAACCAGGCTGCCCCTGAATGCAGCTGTTGTCCAATACTTCAACTATAAGCTCTGTGGGGCAGCGTCTTTGCATTCTGTGCATGTACAGCCCCGAGCGCAGTGGGGTCTGGTCCGTGACTGGGGCTCTTAGACACTCTGGGAATACCAACAGTAAGTACAAGACACACTGGGCCAGATCCCCAGCTGATGAACCGAAACTGATCAGCACTAGCTGCGCAGACCCCAACCGAGATCAGGGCCCCGTCGTGCCGGGTACTGCACCGACATAGTGAGAGACTCTCCTTGCCCCAAAGAGCTCCCAGTGTAAATAGACAAACAAAAGCTCATTAACTGCATGCAAGTTAATTTAACAGATGGGGGAAACTGAGGCACAGAGTGATGTCCAAGGTCACATAATGAGTCAGTGGCAGAGCTGGGAATTGGACCCAGACAATGGGTAGGAGGGAAAGTGAGTCGCCCGAGGTCCTGTAGCAGAGCTGGGAACAGACACCAGGTCTCATAAGCCCCTGTCTGGTGCCCAGCCCACTAGACCACACGACTTCCCAGAGGCTGGCAGAGAACCCAGGCATCCTGAGCTCCAGACCACCACGCTGCCTGATGTACCACCTTGCTTCTGTGCGGAAAGCAGACACTGGGGCAATGCTGAGCCCAACCCAGCCATGGGGCGGGGCGGGGGACAGACGCCCCAGGGGCCTACCTTGGGAAGAGTGTATCCCCGGAACTGGGTGTCCCGGGTCACCCGGCGCGCCAGGCCCATGGGGATGACGTCACAGAACCTCTGGAACTCGTGGATGACGGCATCGGTGTAGGGCATCCGGCTCCGGTCCTCCATGCTCGGGGCGCGGTTCCGCCCGATCACCCGGTCGATCTCCTCGTGGATCCTCTCTGCAGAGACGGCAGCACGGCTCAAAGGGGGGCCCTGTGCGAATCCGGATTGACCCCTGGGGAACCGAGATCAGAATCTGGCCCTGCCCCCCCTGCAGTCAGGGAGTGACTCTGGATTGATCCCATGGGAGCTGAGATCAGGATCGGGCCCTGACCCCACTGCAGTCAGGGAGTGACTCTGGATTGGCCCTGGGGGAACCGAGATCAGAATCTGGCCCTGTTCCCACTGCAGTCAGGGAGTGACTCTGGATTGATCCCATGGGAGCTGAGATCAGGATCTGGCCCTGCTCCCACTGCAGTCAGGAGGTGACTCTGGATCAGCCCCAGGGGAACCGAGATCTGAATCCAGCCCCTGGAATTGGAATCGGAAATAGCCACAGTGACCCGGCGTTCCCTGACTGTCGGCTTCCTTTCAATCACGATGGAGTGACACACACAGGACCCTGCTCCCATGTCAAACTCGCTGCCGAGCTGTGACTGTCCGGCCCCATCCGGAGCTGGTGTAGATGGAGGAACCGCTGCTGCCCTCAGCAGAGCCCGGCCGATTTACACCGGCTGAGGATCTGGCCCTTTGTGTTTCCTTTGTTCCCCCCTTTCCAGTTACCTTCGATCTCCGGGTATTTCAGCAGCAGGAGGAATCCATAGCGCAGGGTGGTGCTGACGGTCTCTGTCCCAGCGAAGAAGACATTGAACGCCGTCATAACAATGTTCTTCAGGGAAAACTCAGAGGAAGGATTTTGCTTTTCCTTTGAAAGACCAAGAAAAAAAATGCCAGGATGCTTGTGAGACCTCTGGGGATGTGGCTGGGAACAGAATCTGGCCGGGACTCCCTTACACTGTATAGACGCCAGGTCAGCACCCATGAGTGCGAGGAGCTGCACGGATCCCAGCCGAAATCAGGGCCCCCGTTGGGGCGGGAGATAGAGTGAGGGACAATCCCTGCTCCAAGGAGCTTACAGTCTCAGAGGATGGCCCTCCATCCCCATTGTATAGGTTGGGAAACCGAGGCACAATGCAATGCTGTGATTCGACTAAGGCCACATGGCGGTCAGTGACAGAGCCCCGATTTCCTGAGTTTCAGCCCAGTGCTTTCACCAAAGCCCATTGTTCCTAGCCATTTATGGGGCTCGATTTCTCTGCCCCAGGGGGTTTGAGGCCTGAACCGACCCCGTTACAAGTTGAACCCCTGGTTATAATCAGGACCGTTTGGTCTCTCAGGCCTGATGCTGACCCCACTGAGTCGTCCCCTCCGGCTACTGCCGGTACCTGCTGCATTTTGACGAGGAAGCAGTCGATGAAATCCCGAGGAGCGCTGGGGTCCAGGGTCTCCTGGTTCGCCTTCACCTTCCTCTCGATGAACTTTTCCAGCCCTGCCAGCTCCTTGAACGCTTTGCGCTGGGGGCCGGGCAGGTAGCGCATGGTGTCCGAGAACATCTCGTAGAGCTGGGGGGCATGGAGAGCAAAGACCCCACTGAACTCAGGGTGGGTTGAGAGCTGATCTATCTCTCTATATCTATCCCCATCTCCATCCCCATTCCACCAACCTATCTATCTATCTATCCCCAGCCACCCCATCTATCTATCTATCTATCTATCTATCTATCTATCTATCTATCTATCCCCAGACACCCCTGTATCTAATCTATCTATCTACCTCCATACCCCCACCTCTATCTAATCTATATCTATCTATCCCCAGACATCCCCTCTATCTATCCATCCCCAGACACCCCCATCTATCTATCTATCTATCTATCTATCTATCTTTAACACCATTATAAATGTTGGGGGCAAAGCGGGGTTTGGGGGAGAGGCTGGCAGCTCACGACCCCCGCCCCCATGAAATAACCTCACAATCCTCTGAGGGGTCCCGACTCCCAGTTTGAGAACCCCTGTTCTATCCCCACCCCACTCCTCAATCTATCTACCCATCCCCATACATGCCCCCCCCTTTCCCCATTCACACTGTCCATCCCCCGACATTCCCCTTTATCTATTTCACACCCATCACTGCAGATCCCAGGTTTTCCTCTTCGCTGCCCCCCCAGCATTCTCGCATCCCCCTCCGCTCCCCTAGCTAACCAGCACGCCCCCCCCGCTCCCCGGGGCAGGCAGGTCTCGGAGCCGTGGGACGTGGCCTGGGCCCCCCCTCCCCCAGCGTACCTGCCCCCAGGCCGTGGCGGTGAAGCGGAAGCTCTCGGTGATCATGTAGAGCAGGGAGAGGAACTCCTTGTCCTCGTAGTCGAACCGGTCCCCGAAGACCACGGAGCTGATGACGTTGGAGACCGTGCGGCTCAGGAAGTAGGTGGGGTCAAAGGGCAAACCTAGGGGGGTACAGCCAGCGTTGGGTGGGGCACAGGTGAGCCGGGGGGCTGTGCCACGGACCTATCTGCTGCCACAGCCCCCGTGGTCCCCAGGGACCCCCCTCTCCATGATCTCGCAGCCGCCACCTGCCATGCGGACACATGCCTGTAAGCTCCACCCTGGGCAAAGGGACCACGAAGCCTAGAGGTGAACACCGGACAAGTGCCCCCGAGACAACAATGGCGTCGGTGCCCCACTCCGGTTCCCAGGACCATGGCATCTCAGCACTGCACCATCTTCACCCGACTCCCGACCCCCATCTCGGCAGGACCGGGGGTCTGTCCTAAGTGAACAGAGATCTCCTGAACGCCTTGCTCGAGCCCTGCTGGGATGACCCGTGCCTCAGTTTCCCCACCCGCCTAATGGGATAATGCTCCCAACCTCCTTTGTAAGCCGCTTTGGGAGTGATGGACAAACCCTGCTCTGAGGTTAATTGGTGTGGGGTGGAGACACGGCTGATTAACTGCCGCTGGGGGGCCGGCCTCATTGACCCCAGTGGAGCTGCGGCCTGTTCACACCAGCTGGGGGTCTGGAGCCCCCCGACTCAAGTGGCCCCGGCACCGGAGGAACAGGACACTGACCAACCTTTCGTGCCCCGCAAGGCTTCCAGCAGGAAACGAGTCTCCTCCAGGATCCGCTCCTCGATGCCTCGCTTCCCCACCCCGAAGTTCCTCAGCGTGGTGATGGAGAATCGGCGCAGCTGCTTCGCTCTCTCCCCGTTGCTGAAGGCCACTCCTGGGGCGGATGAAAGAGCAGAAGGAACCAAATGACTGGAGGGTACCTAGCGTGACGCCAGTTTTTTAAAAGGGCTCCAGAGGTGATCCCGGCAATTACAGGCCTGTAAGCCTGACTTCGGTACCGGGCAAACTGAACAAAATCGTCAGACACAGAGATGAACATAAATTGTTGGGGAAAAGTCAACATGGTTTTAGTAAAGGGAAATCATGCCTCACCAATCTACTAGAATTCTTTGGGGGATCAACAAGCATGTGGACCAAGGAGATCCAGTGGAGATAATGTACTTAGATTTTCAGAAAGCCTTTGACAAGGTCCCTCACCAAAGGCTCTTAGGCGAAGTGAGCTGCCATGGGATAAGAGGGAAGGTGCTCTCATGGATCGGTAACTGGTTGGAAGATAGGAAACAAAGGGAAGGAATAAATGGTCATTTTTTAGAATGGAGAGAGGTAAATAGTGGTGTCCCCCAGGGGTCTGCCCTGGGCCCAGTCCTATTTAACATATTCATAAATGATCTAGAAAAAGGGGTAAACCGTGAGGTGGCAAAATTTGCAGATGATACAAAACTACTCAAGATAGTTAAGTCCCAGGCAGGCTGTGAAGAGCTACAAAAGGATCTCACAAAACTGGGGGACTGGGCAACAACATGGCAGATGAAATTCAGCGTTGATAAGTGCAAAGTAATGCACATTGGAAAGCATAATCCCAACTGTACATATACAATGATGGGGTCTGAATTAGCTGTTACCACTCCAGAGAGATCTTGGAGTCACTGCGGAGAGTTCTCTGAAAACATCCACTCCACGGGCAGCGGCAGCCAAAAAAGCCAACAGGATGCTGGGAATAGTCGAAGAAAGTGACAGATAATAAGACAGAAAATATCACGTTGCCTCTGTATCAATCCATGGGACGCCCACAGCTTGAATCCTGCGTGCGGATGTGGTCGCCCCATCTCGAAAAAGATAGATTGGAATTGGAAAAGGTTCAGAAAAGGGCAACAACAATGATTAGCAAAAAGAACAGGAGGACTTGTGGCATCTTAGAGACTAACCAATTTATTTGAGCATAAGCTTTCGTGAGCTACAGCTCACTGCATCGGATACCAATGACGTGAGCTGTAGCTCACGAAAGCTTATGCTCAAATAAATTGGTTAGTCTCTAAGGTGCTACAAGTCCTCCTGTTCTTTTTGCGAATACAGACTAACACGGCTGTTACTCTGAAACAATGATTAGGGGTATGGAACGGCTGCCGCATGAGGAGAGATTAAGAAGACGGGGACTTGTCAGCTTGGAAAAGAAACAACTCGGGGGGGGGGGATAAAATACGGGTCTATAAAATCATTAGGGGTGTGGAGAAAGTAGATAAGGACATGTTGTTTACTCCTTCTCATAACACAAGAACTAGGGGTCACCCAATGAAATGAATAGGCAGCAGGTTTAAAACGAACCAAAGGCAGTATTTTTTCACACAACGCACAGTCAACCTGTGGAACTCCTTGCCAGAGGATGTTGTGAAGGCCAAGACCATAACAGGGTTCAAAAAAGAACTAGAGCAGTTCATGGCGGATACGTCCATCAATGGCTATTAGCCAGGATGGGCAGGGATGGTGTCCCTAGCCTCTGTTTGCCAGGAGCTGGGAATGGGCAACGGGGTGGATCACTTAGCGATTCCCTGTTCTGTTCATTCCCTCTGGGGCACCTGGCACTGGCTACTGTCGGAAGACAGGACACTGGGCTGGATAGACCTTTGGTCTGACCCGGTCTGGCTGTTCTTGTGAGGACTCAAAAGTTGACCACCCCTGAGTTTTGAAAGTTTACTGAGGTTTTTTCCTTTGCGGGGTGGGGGTGGGTGGAGAGAGAAAGCAAGTGCAAAAGGCCAAATGAAATGTGGGGAGGGGGATTTTTTAAAATGGTTCCCCCCCCCCCGAAATGAGAATCCCTCCCCACATTGAATTTGGACCCGCTCCCCGGATCGACGCCTGAGCTGAGACGCTCCCTATCCGCAGCCTGGCGGAGCGGTGGATCCGTCTCCCAGGAGCTAACAGGAGGGAGGCTGCTCCCTGCCTCGATCGGTGGTTGCATAAAGCCAGATACTGCCAGGATTTCTGGGAACAGCCCAGCCAGCCCCGCCTCCGCTCTGCCCCAAGCTATTGGGCACGTCCCCAGACGGAGCGGGTCGGGACTGAGCGACTCTGCCCCGGCCGGGAGCTGCCCCCTCTGCGCCCCCCGGCTGGCTCCCCTCCCGCGCACGCGACTGACCGTAGCCCTGGGCGATCCAGTCGAAGGTGGCTTGTTTCCCGCGCCCGCTGAAGTCCTCGGCCTGGTCCAGCAGGGCCTCCTTCACCGCCTGGTAGCCGCACAGCACCACCACCCGCCGGGGGCCCAGCTGGAGGGTGTAGACGGGGCCGTAGCACTCGCTCAGCTGAGACGGAGACGCCGTGTGGGACGGGGGCATGGAGCGTCGGGGACACCCAGACACGCGCCCTGCCCCCCCGCGCCCCCCACAGGCGCCTGCCTGTCCCCCACTCCCCGCCTCTCCCCTCCCTGCCACCCATCCCCCCCCCCCCCATGATCCTCCGCCCCCCGGACACACCAATCCCTGCACCTCTGCTCTCACACAGCAAAGCCCCTCTGCCCCCCCTCCAGCCCTAGTGCCCCTCCCCCAACACACCAGCCCCAGAGATACCCGGGGTCGAGCTCGTCACAGAACTTAATAAAGCTCCTGCAGGCTGAGCAGGTCGGCGGCTCTGAGGGGGCATCGGTGGGCACTGGAGAGCCCCTCGTGGGGTCAGGCCACCCGGGACGTCCCGGGAAAAGCCCACCTACCTTCATGAGCGACTTGCGCATGTTGCTGAGGTCGACCTGCAGCAGGTTCCCGAGGAGGGGCAGCGGGAAGGGCCCTGGGGGCATTTCCCCCCGGCCCTGCAGTTGCCGCCAGGTGGAGAGGAGCAGGAGGCAGGAGAGGCAGATGACCAGGAACAGGCTGATGGCTCCCAGGGGATCCATGGCTGGCTGGGAGCCTCCCCCGATCCGCTGCCCTTCTCCCGCGGTCCAGCGCTGCGGGCGGTTATATAGCCGGCCAGCAGGGACCCTGGCATCGGTGCCTCTCTTGCGTAAGCCACTTGTGCAACTGAGGCCTGGCTTCCCTCCAACCCTGGGGTAGGGCTGGTAGAACGAGGGATTCAGGATTCCCGGGGCACAGAGGCTGGAGCAGGTTCAGTTTGTTTGTCCGTCTCCCGTCGGGCCACCCCCATCTTGACCAAACACCAGTGCTCGGTCGGGGGGGCAGATGAGGGCGGGGGTGGGGGGTTTTGTTGGATCATATTGAAGAAGTTCTGTATTAAAATCACAAATGAGTTTGATTCCCCATAGTTTAAATTCCAGGGTATTACTAATTAAGAGGTCTCTTGGTTTTTGGCACTGTTTCTCTCCCTCTAGGTGTGAAACTTGCAAGCTGCTAATTGTGTTAGTACTTTCTAAGACAGAGTCTGTTCTCAAAGCAATTCACAGAGAGAGAGACTCAAAGCAATACTCTGTAACAACAGAAACAGCACCCGGAGACTTTCATGCCCTTTTGTTGTATTAACAATTGTAATTAAAATAGAGATAGAGGATGTATGTGGATGGATGCTTGGTGTGGATAATAACTGAATGATCAGGGAGGTGCCAGCCTAAGAATCCAGTGTCCATCGGCTGAAGAAGGCGTCAAGTGGAAATAACCAGAGGACCCCCGGAGGGCAGACTGGTTATAACTATAACTAACTGCTTACTATGATTCTTTCTGTATTCACAGTAAATGTGGTATTTTGCCTTTTTCCCTTTAATAAGATCCTGCTGGTTTTTATTTTATTGGTACAACAGTTTGATATTGGACACCCGAGTCTGGAAACGCTTCAGACAAAGACATTGGGCTGGAAGGAGCAACCAGTCCCCCCGGAGCCTTCCATTTTCCTGGGCTAAACTGGCCCAGCTCTTGGAGGCCTTGTCTGCACCAGGAGCTATGCGGGCTTTGCTTCGCGGCTGAGCTCTGGGCTGCGGGAGGCGTAGGGGAAGCCGGTGGAATTCGATCCAAGAAGGCAGAGGGCAGACAGGCAAGATAGACTGTGAAGTTATTCCCCAAGATGGGCCCTGAGTCATCTCTAGAGCTGGGCGAAATGTTTTCAGCCCATCGTAAATTTGCCCCAAAGGGCCTTTTTCAGGGCACCAAAACTAGTCACAACTTTGGATCCCATTCAGCAACTAGTTCCAGCCACAAAAAAACTGATAAATGCCTCGACTTTTCCTTTCGAAAGGATACTTTGTTTTGAAATGGAGCTAGATTTTTATAAAAAACAAAAAAAGGGTTAATAAAAAAACAACTGAAAAATTAAACAATGAAAACTGGACAAATTGCGTTTCGGATCAAAAGCTAACCTGAGAAAGGAACCGAAAAACGTTTAAAACGGCAGGTTGGTTTTTTTATTTCAGTTCGGGTGGTTTTTGGTCTGGGACAATTTATTTGTCGGGTTTTTGTTCTGGTGAGAAACGGAAAGAAAAAAACCCTTGGGTGACTGAATGTAAACCACCCGAGTTACACCCGCGTGAATGGAGTTACTTCAGACTTGCACAGACATAACGGAGAGCAGAATTTTCCCCAGGAGCATATTCCTCCAGGCTGTCAACAACGGCGGCTGTGAATACCGGGCAACAAAGGGGAAAGAGGGAGTTGCATTGCAGGCTTTATTTAAAAGGGTGACCAGTGGAGGTTGCCCTGACAGTAACTGAGTGACGGGCGCACACTCCAGTGAGAGACAGCGGCATGGTCAGATTCATCCCAGTGCAGAGAGCAAGCCCAAGTCCTGTCACCCCCACGTGAATGATCGCCACCCCATCTGAAGTCATATGCCAGTCGGATGGTACAGCTATGGGAAAAGGGTTCTGTTTAAAAGGGAAGCTGTCGAGTTTGGGGCCTAGCACAAACATTCACCTCCAAATTCACCATTAAAGCTGCGGGACTTCAACGCAACTCATTTCCCCCACCCCTCCCGAAACAGCCTGAACTGATAAGCCCCAAAATTGGACTTTGGAAAGATACTGTGAATTTTGAAATTTGGCTGGCAACAGATTTGTCTGCCCTGAAATTCCACCTGTTTGTAAATCACTCCCCCCCCAATCTTCACAAAATCGAAAGATCCCCAAAGTTTCACACAATCTGCAAGATGCTTGGAATGGAATTGTAATCACAAGAGAGTCATAGAATCATTGAATATCAGGGTTGGAAGGGACCTCAGGAGGTTATCTAGTCCAACCCCCTGCTCAAAGCAGGACCAATCCCCAACTAAATCATCCCAGCCAGGGCTTTGTCACGCCTGACCTTGAAAACTTCTAAGGATGGAGATTCCCCCGCCACCCTAGGGAACCCATTCCAGTGCTTCACCACCCTCCTCGTGAAATAGTTTTCCCTAATATCCTACCTAGACCTCCCCCACTGCAACTTGAGACCATTACTCCTCGTTCTGTCATCTGCTACAACTCAGAACAGTCTAGATCCATCCTCTTTGGCACCCCCTTTCAGGCAGTTGAAAGCAGCTATCAAATCCCGCCTCATTCTTCTCTTCTGCAGAGTGTGTGTGTGTGTGAGAGACTGAGCCCTGGTCTACCCCACACCGTTAGGTCGACGTAAGGCAGCTTATGTCGGTCTCGTTATGTCAGCGTCCACACTACAGCCTGGTCCCACAGATGTAAGTGCCCTCCTACGCCCACAGACACTGCATCCTTTACATCAGCTGTCTTGTCAAGTTCATGGCAGGAGCAGTGAAATTGACAAGAAGGTCCCTCCCCTCCAACCCCGCTCCTCTGCAGAGCTGGGTGGCTGGACACTGCTTCCAGCTGGGAGCCCGGGTGAGAAGCCTGAGCGGCCCCTGTGGGAGCCGGGCAGCCTTGTGAGCTGTGAAATGGACAAGGCTGCCTGGCTCCCGGCGGGGAGTGGGCTGGGGGAGGCCGAGAAGCCCCAGGAGGCTTGCTCCTGCTCCTGACGGGGAACGGGGAGCAGAGCAGGGGAACAGCCCGTCGGGAGCCTGAGGGGCAGCTGGGCTCCTGGCAGGGAGCTGCCAGCAGAGCAGACAGACCGGGCTCTCAGCCCCCACAGCCACTGCCCCTCTTAGGCGGGGGGGAATCGCCCCTGGTGAGGGTCGGGTGGACATGACCATGGCTGTAAGTCGGCCTACTATAGGTTGAGTTAGGAGTGTCGTGTAGATGTACCCTCAGAGACAGTGTCTCATAGGGGAGATCTCATTCCCTTGTGCAGCTGGAAAACAGCAGCCAGATTCCCCCAGGAGATTCACCCTCTTGGCTCCTTCTCCTGATGGGTGCAGTTCTCAACATGATACATGGCCAGGTCTTTCCTTCCCCATCCCCAGATTTGGCCCTTTCCCTCCCTCCCCCAGGCTGCCCCGAGAAGTCCCGTCTGTTTCCGTGGGGCGGCTAGCGCGGGACCAGACAGATCTCGTAGCTGCGGGGCAGGGCGGCGAACCCGATCAGCTTCGGGGAGATGTCGATGTCTTTGGGCTCGACGGGGGAGCGGAAGCGGAAGTTTTGCAGGATGCTGGTGAGGAAGAGGAAGAGTTCCATGATAGCCAGCATCTCCCCGAAACAATACCGTTTCCCTAGGAGAGAAGACAGAGGAGGCATCATGGCCCGGCCGGAGGGTTTTGGCTCGTTTCTTTCCGACACAAACAATTTAGCGACATCGTGGTCACATTTCGCCGATAAAGGTGCCAGTGAAGAATTACCCCTTCCACTCTGTTTAATGATACTGAGCTCAGATGGACTGCGAGGACCCAGGAGAACAGAGAAATAACATGCACGGGTCCCAGATTCTCTGGCCAGAAGGGCCTATTGGGATCATCTAGCCTGATCTCTGCCCAGCACACGCCATTCAGTTTCACCCAGTTACTCATGCAGTTTGCCCAGCAACTTGTGTTTAATTAAAGCATCTCTTCCGGAAAGGCAGCAAGCCTGGATCTGCAGCGTCCAAGCGATGGAGAACGGCCCCCCCGACTCCTGGGAAGCTGTTCCAGGGGCTAATTCCCCCCAGTGTTAAAAATTTGCCCTTTATTTCGAGTTGGAATTTATCACCAAGCTTCAGCTTTCGGTCTTTGGCTCCCATTCTGCCTTTGCTAGATTAGGGACCCCGCTGCTGTCAGAACCCAGTTCTCCTCCCAGGCGGTGCTGATAGACCGGGATCAAGCCACCCCTTAACCTCCTCTCCACTCAGCTCCTGGAGTCTTTCTGTTCGGCAGCTTTTCCAGACCTCCAATGCAGCCTGCTGCTCTCCTCTGAACCCTTTCCAGTTTGTCAGCACCTTGTGTGAGGCGTGGACACCAGAACTGGACACGGTGTCCCAGTCCCGGTCTCACCAATGCTGCATTCAGAGGTAACGTCACCGGTCTACTCCTGGGCCATGTTCCCCATGGCTCCCTGGGCAGGAACACGCCTGATCGCACCATTGGGAGACTTGTATTCACTGGTGTGAGGAGCAAACGATCGAGCCAAAACGAGAAAAAGAACCAAGCAACTCCTGTGGGGTGGCCCACAGATGATAATGACCCCAGGTGTGTCTGTCGGCCTCACCCGAGTTCAGGGCACCATTGTGCTAGGCTCTGGACAGACCCACAGGGAGAGACAGTCCCTGCCCCAAAGAGCTCACAAGGCCCTGCTTCCCCACGGGACTTCAGTGCACACTGACCCCTGCGTGTGTGTGAACAGCCCCCTTGACCGCAATGGAGTGACATTGATTTACACCAGCTGAGGATCTTGCCCCACTGACTCCAATGGAGTGGCACTGATTTACACCGCCTGAGGATCTGGCCTCACAATTCTCCGTACACAAATTCAGCTCAGCAAGGTGAGGTCTAGCAGCCGGGGGGCTGAGCCAGGCCTAGATCTCGCTGCTTGGGACGCTCGGAACCAAGCTCTGCTAAGGGATTCGTACCTATTGAGAAGGGCACGAAGGCGTCGCTCTTCTTAAACTGGCCGTCCCCATCCAGGAAATGGCTGGGGTCGAAGGTGTCGGGGCTGCTGAATTGCGTGGGGTCATACAGCACGGATCCCAGCACCGGGTACACCTCCGTCCCCTGGGGGAAGAGACGGTGACAGACAGCAACGATTAAACGCCGATAACCCACAGCACTGGATGCTGGGGCACAATTCAGGGTCGTTTTTAGCCATGGGAGGAATTTGCAGCAAACGCAAATATTAAATTGCAGGAGCCTGGTCAGGCCAAAATCCAAAGTTCACGTCTTGGCACGTGTCTCCCAACGTCGTCTGCTCTAGCTACTGCCCTCTGCTTCTCCCGGAACGGGGAAGGGAACCCAGGAATCCAGACTCCCCGTTCTCACCACTGAACCAGGCTGCCCCTGCAGATTAATACTTAAAATTTAAGCTCTGTGGGGTGGTGTCTTTTGTGGCTATTTGTACAGCACCGAGCGCGGGGGGCTGGGGGGGTCCTGGTCCGTGACTGGGGCTCCTCGGCATAATGGGAATACAAAATGTAAATGTGAATAATACTGGGCCAGGTCCTCAGAGGCTGTGCCTATGCTCATGTACACCAGCCGCGGCGCTGGCCTATACACTATACCCAGCGTGAACCTCCTGGCTTTCCGCACCCACAGTGTGGATTTTAAGGTGGCACTGGAAGTCAGGCTCAGAGTATTTATCCACATCTATGAATGTTATTATTAGGTGTATTACGGTACCGCCCCAGACTCCCCAGCTGCCATCAGAGCCCCGTCGTGCTGGGCACTGGACAAAGGGAGCGATATTCCCTCTACCAAAGAGCTTCGGTGTAAATAGAAAAACGGTGGGGAACCATTAACACCATTCGTTAATTTAACATGTGGGGGAAACTGAGGCACAGGGCGATACCCTAGATCACACGCCGAGCTAGTAGTCGAGCTGCGAATAGAAACAAGGTCTCCGGTGCTGTGCCCACTAGATCACACGACTTCCTAGAGGCAGCATCGGGCCCGGTCCACCGCCTTGTCTGTGGCACTGTGCCGGAATCCAGAGAGAGCGACAATGCTGAGCCCGACCCAGCCATGGGGCGGGGCGGGGGACAGACGCCCCAGGGGCCTACCTTGGGAATAGTGTATCCCCGGAACTGGGTGTCCCGGGTCACCCGGCGCGCCAGGCCCATGGGGATGACGTCACAGAACCTCTGGAACTCGTGGATGACGGCGTTGGTGTAGGGCATCTGGATCCGGTCCTCCATGCTCGGGGCGCGGTTCCGCCCGATCACCCGGTCGATCTCCTCGTGGATCCTCTCTGCAGAGACGGCAGCACGGCTCAAAGGGGGGCCCTGTGCGAATCCGGATTGACCCCCGGGGAGCTGAGATCAGGATCCGGCCCTGCCCCCCCCCGCAGGCAGGGAGTGACTCTGGATTGACGCCAGGTGAACAGAGCTCAGAATACAATCCCGGGCATTTCAGTTTGCCATAGCCACACTGACCCAGCATTCCCTGACCGTCGGCTTCCTTTCATTCACACAGGACCCTGCTCCCATGTCAAACTCGCTGCCGAGCTGTGACTGTCCGGCCCCATCCGGAGCTGGTGTAAATGGAGGAACCGCCGCTGCCCTCAGCAGAGCCCGGCTGATTTACACTGGCTGAGGATCTGGCCCTTTGTGTTTCCTTTGTCCCCCGTTTCCAGTTACCTTCGATCTCTGGGTGTTTCAGCAGCAGGAGGAATCCATAGCGCAGGGTGGTGCTGATGGTCTCCGTCCCAGCGAAGAACAAGGTGAATGCCGTCAGAACAATGTTCTTCAGGGAAAACTCAGAGGAAGGATTTTGCTTTTCCTTTGAAAGACCAAAGGGGAAGAAAGGGACTTTTGAGAGAACTCTGGGGATGTGACTGAGGGCGCAGTACAAAAATGGAGCAAAAGACAATCCCTGCTCCTAGGCGCTTACAGTCTCAGAGGAGGGCTCTCCATCCCCATGTACAGGTGGGGAAAGTGATTTGACTAAGGCCACATGGTGGGTCAGAGCCCAGATCTCCTGAGTTCCAGCCTGGTTCCGTCTCCCAAGCCTGTTGTTCCTAGCTATCTATGGGGCTCCATTTCTCTGCCCCAGAGGGTTTGAGGCCTGAACCGACCCCATTACAAGTTGAACCCCTGGTTATAATCAGGCCGTTTGGTCTCTCAGGCCTGATGCTGACCCCACTGAGCCATCCCTTCCGGCTATTGCCGGTACCTGCTGCATTTTGACCAGGAAGCAGTCGATGAAATCCCGAGGAGCGCTGGGGTCCAGGGTCTCCTGGTTCGCCTTCACCTTCCTCTTGATGAACTTTTCCAGCCCTGCCAGCTCCTTGAACGCTTTGCGCTGGGGGCCGGGCAGGTAGCGCATGGTGTCTGAGAACATCTCGTAGAGCTGGGGGGCACAGAGAGCAAAGACCCCACTGAATATGGGGTGGGTTGAGAGCTGATCTGTCCATCCCCGGACACACCCCTCTGTCTGTTGAACTCTGCCCATTCACACTGTCCATCCCCCGACATTCCCCTTTATCTATTTCACACCCATCACTGCAGATCCCAGGTTTTCCTCTTCGCTGCCCCCCCAGCATTCTCGCATCCCCCTCCGCTCCCCTAGCTAACCAGCACGCCCCCCCCCCCCCGCTCCCCGGGGCAGGCAGGTCTCGGAGCCGTGGGACGTAGCCTGGGCCCCCCCTCCCCCAGCGTACCTGCCCCCAGGCCGTGGCGGTGAAGCGGAAGCTCTCGGTGATCATGTAGAGCAGGGAGAGGAACTCCTTGTCCTCGTAGTCGAACCGGTCCCCGAAGACCACGGAGCTGATGACGTTGGAGACCGTGCGGCTCAGGAAGTAGGTGGGGTCAAAGGGCAAACCTAGGGGGGTGCAGCCAGCGTTGGGTGGGGCACAGGTGAGCCGGGGGGCTGTGCCACGGACCGTCTCCCCTCCATGGATCCCACAGCCTGCCGAGTCACTCCTGTCCCGCCACCTGCCGTCTTCACACGTGTCAGTGGGGGGACGGTCCTGCTATGGTGGGGAACTTTTCTGGCGCACGTGCTGCCCCGGGGGAATGGGCTGGCCACAGGATCCGGGTCCCCGCTCCCACTTCTTTCACCCTCCCACGCAGCAGAGTCCTCGTAACCCCGACAGGGCTGGGCCCCGGATTCTGGGGGGGCTGCACCCTGACTCTGATCGTGGTCACTTCGGAGAGGGGCCAGGGTGTCCCCACTGCGGGGTCCTCGCTCCACACCAGCCACTTCCCCGACCCACGGAGCCGTGCATTACGTTCAAACCAAATACAAACCGAATTCAACACCTGGAAAGAGCTCACGCGCCGGCCGGCTGTGGGATGTGAGACCAGTTCACCGCCTTTTCCTCTCCTATCCCGGCTCTGGCCCCGTGGCTCCCCCTCGGCATGGCTGCTCCAGCTCCCCAGCTCTGCCTTTCCCCTTAGCTCTGCCCTCCTCTGGTTCAGACAGCTCCCGCTCACACGGAGGATGGACTCCTGGGCTCTTGACTCCCTCATTGGCTGGCCTGCCCCGTCAATCAGGCTGACCTTGAGCAGTGGCCTCTCCCCACTGGCCTGGGGGACTGTCAGTCTCAGGATCTTGATTTCTCATCGGACCTACCCCTTTATTTTTGTACCGGGAGAGAGCCACCAAAAAATGCACTGCGTGCCAGTGTGGGGGGCCGATGGTGCCCCGGCACCTGGCTGAAGGGTACCTGGAGGCCCAGCCCCACGGCACCGTGCAGAGGCAGCAAGGTGGCGTGGGGGAGAATGAGCCCAGCCCCTCATCTGCTTCCCCGTCACCCAGAACACAGCGGATCCCAGAGCAACCCCAAGCCGCGTGCGGTTTACAGGAGTGTCCACGAGAGATCAGCCCACCGATGTGCAAGCCTTAAACACGCAGTTACAAAGTTCTTCATTCGATAGCCACAAACACTTTTTCTGCCTCGCACTGAGATTCGTTTGCTGGCCCAGCTGTTTACCTGGGTGTTCCCCTTCCCCGCCAGACACGCAGGCAGCTTTACACATGTCCTGACACCTCAAATACACCGTCTATGTAATACATCCTATAGTGGGGTCCTGCGAATCGGGGCAGAGCAGGGAGTTGAGCCCATGCCTCCTAGGCGAGAACCCCACTCGCTGGCCTGCTCTGTGACTCAGTTTCCCCACCTGCACAATGGGCGTTATGACACTGACCATCTTTACAAAGGTCCACAGGTAAGAACCTCGGCTGGTGTAAACTGGTGTCAAGGTCAACAGAGTGATGACAATTCACAGCAGCTGGGGGTTTGGCCCCACTGACTGTCACGGAGCTATGGGCAGTTCGCACCAGCTGGGGGTCTGGCCCCATTGACTGTCACGGAGCTATGGGGGGTTCAAACCAGCTGGGGGTCTGGCCCCCCGACTCACGTGGCCCCGGCACCAGAGGAACAGGACACTGACCAACCTTTCGTGCCCCGCAAGGCTTCCAGCAGGAAACGAGTCTCCTCCAGGATCCGCTCCTCGATGCCTCGCTTCCCCACCCCGAAGTTCCTCAGCGTGGTGATGGAGAATCGGCGCAGCTGCTTCGCTCTCTCCCCGTTGCTGAAGGCCACTCCTGGGGGGAAGGAAGCAGACCATGGTGCAGGGGGCCCGGGCAGGGTACTGCCAACGGCGGCACAATGCAATCAACCACGAGGGGACGCTAACGAGAACCCGTTCCCCAGGCCGGTCCTGCCCCGAGTTGGCCTGCGGATTTATTTTATTCGCTGTATCATGGGGGCAGCTGGCGGCCGGGACCCCACGGCATTAGGTGCTGAACAAACATAGAACACCAAGAGCCAGTTCGCGCCCTGGGGGGGGATGGTGCAGAATTTCCTGGAAACCCCGTCCCCCTTGCTCCCCCCGTCCCCCTCCCCCACCGCACTTTCATATGTCTCTGCGGTCTCCACTTTTTCATTTTTTATCCCCTCGTTCCTTAACTTCCAGGCTGTTTTCTCTGGAAACAAATGGAAACAACACCAAATGAAATAGAGAAGGGGAGGGAATTTTATTGATTCCCCCCCCAAAGGAGAGCTTTTGCCCCTAAAAAATTGCCTTTGGACCCGCTCTACAGTTGGGCAACTGAGCTGTGACGCTTCCCTTGCGCGGCCTGGCGAAGCGGAGCGGTGGATCCGTCTCCCTGGACGTAACAGGAGGGAGGCTGCTCCCTGCCTCGATCGGTGGTTGCATAAAGCCAGGAACTATTTCCGGGATTGCGAGGAACGGCCCAGCCAGCCCCCTGCTCTGCCCTGCCCCAGGTTTTGGGCACGTCCCCCGATGGAGCAGGTCGGGACGAAGTGACTCTGCCCCGGCCAGGAGCTGCCCTCTCTGCGCCCCCCAGCTGGCTCCCCTCCCGCGGACCGTAGCCACGGAAGATCCAGTCGAAGGTGGCTTGTTTCCCGCGCCCGCCGAAGTCCTCGGCCTGGTCCAGCAGGGCCTCCTTCACCGCCTGGTAGCCGCACAGCACCACCACCCGCCGGGGGCCCAGGTGGAGGGTGTAGACGGGGCCGTAGCGCTCGCTGATCTGCCAAGGACACGGAGATGCCATGAGACGCGGGGACAGAGCGTTGGGGACACGCAGAGACGCTCCCTGCCCCTCCTCGCCCCCCACAGAGCAACCCCAAGCCCCAGGCTTCACCTCTCCCCCCTCCTATACACCAACCCCTCCCCATCCACCCACCATCCCCTCCCCTTCTACAACCCCGTCCCATCCCATCACCTTTCCCTTCCCACGCCCCCCCACCCCATGATCCCCCTCTCCTCACACCCCTAACCCTTGCCCCCCCCCAGCCTGCCCTTCCTCCATGCCCCAACTCTGCCCCCCCCCACTATCACCTGCGCTTCCCCCCTGCGCAGGTCCCCCTCTCCACGCAGCGATACCCGGGGTCAAGCTTGTCACCGAGAATTAATAAAAGTTCCTAAAGACTGAGCAGGTCGGAGGCTCTGAGGTAGGGTTGCCAATTTTGGTTGGACGCATTCCTACAGATTTCATCACATGGCATAATCTTTAATGAAAGTTTAATCTTTAATTCCTGGAGACTCTGGGCCAATCCTGGGGGGTTGGCCACATTATCTGTGGCACTGTTGAGGGCTCAGGCCGCCCGGGCGCCCCGGGGACGTCCCGGGAAAAGCCCACCTACCTTCATGAGCGACTTGCGCATGTTGCTGAGGTCGACCTGCAGCAGGTTCCCGAGGAGGGGCAGCGGGGTGGGCCCCGGGGGCATTTCCCCCCGGCCCTGCAGTTGCCGCCAGGTGGAGAGGAGCAGGAGGCAGGAGAGGCAGATGACCAGGAACAGGCTGATGGCTCCCAGGGGATCCATGGCTGGCTGGGAGCCTCCCCCGCTCCGCTGCCCTTCTCCCGTGGTCCAGCGCTGCGGGCGGTTATATAGCCGGCCAGCAGGGACCCTGGCATCGGTGCCTCTCTTGCGTAAGCCACTTGTGCAACTGAGGCCTGGCTTCCCTCCAACCCTGGGGTAGGGCTGGTAGAACGAGGGATTCAGGATTCCCAGGGCACAGAGGCTGGAGCAAGGTCAGTTTGTTTGTCTGTCCTCCCACCGGGCCACCCCCAGTTTACAGCAGGGAAGTTTTTCCAGTGGTTACCAGATGTGCCCGTTCCTTTGGGGTACGCTGTGGGGGGGAGGTTCTGTAATTCTGTTAACATACTGCTTGTGTCACTTGTGTGTTCCTATGGAGCGCCACTCCTTCCTTCTGCAAGTCCCCTCCCAATGGAGCTATCCTGCAGGACCTCGGTTCCCCCGGACCGCGTCAATCAGCCCTCTCAAGCTGACCCCCTTCTATGTCCCTGTACTCAATGGGCTGGATCAAGCACCGCTTTCAGCTGCTCCCCTCCCTTATATGCCGCAGGTTTAACACGTCCCTGTCCTCACTTTCACGTCACAATTGTACTGGCCGTAACCCACCTGATGAGCAAACCCACAGGATTTTTGGCACTACAGGGGATCTTCAGCTTCAGTACAAGGAGCACCGCTGCAGAGTAAATGGGGGAAGCTAAAAACCCAAAAAAATAAAGTTCAGAGAGAGAGAGGGAAGCAACCAGCTTAACCATAAAAGTTATTCATTGAATAATAGTGATAACTACACAACGAGGGCTAAACCAACATAACAGTTACATTATGAAAGGTTAATACCTGAGGTAGAAAAGAAAACAGAGAAAGAGAAGAGAGAGGGGGATCTCACCCACTCCATGGAGCTTGAACAGGTCGGGGTTCCCAGTTGATGGAGGTAGCTCAGGGTCCTGAGTGCTGGAGACAGGCAGAGCCCCCACCACGATCAGTCAGGAGATGGAATCCCAGTGCAGCTGAGACAGAGTTTGGGTCCATGCGTCAGAACGCTTACAGGAACATGGGTCGGGGTTTTTGTAGAGAAACAACAATGGTTCAAGGGAGAACACTAGATAAGTTTATAGGTAAACAGATGACTCAAGGGTTTTCTTTAGGCTAGACAATAGGAGCTGATCACTCTTGGCTCTGGGTGGTGTTTTCTTGCAGGGAGCTCACAATGCAACTGGGCTGCTTCAGTATTTTGGATACCAATAAAGGATTTATTACTCAAATTGGTCTGATAACTGCTGAGTTGGGTGTGTGCAGGTGTGGGTTCATTAACATCTGGAGCAGAGATCCCCCAGGATGCAGTGCTTTCCAGCTTTTCTGGTCCCAGAGTTCAGTGCAGTTCTCTGCTCTCCATTCTGTATGCAAATTGAGATGTCTCCTTGTCCCATCTTTCAGATGAGGCATGGGGAGTTGTCTCTGTTTTCCGTTCAGTATGCTAATGGAGATGTCTTAATCTTGTCACCCTTGTCAGGAGGGGTCAAGGTGTGTCTCCCATCTGCCCTTCATTGCTCTCTGCAAGTTTTTTCTCTGATGGGTTTTGGTTTAAGGAGAGGCTGGGGGGGGGTGTCTTTCATGAGTCAGACAGGCTGGATACTGCACCCTGGTTCCCCAAGAACACAGAGCTGACTGGTATCATAGTTGACTAAACATCGGTGCGGGGGGGGGGAATATTGGATACCTGAGGCTGGAAAAGTTTCAGCCGAAGACATTGGACTGGAAGGAGCCTCCTGACTCAGTCCTCGGTGTAAGGGGTTAAGAAGCTCAAGTAACCTGGTTGGCACCTGACCAAAGGAACCAATGGAGACAAAAGATACTTTCAAATCTTGTGGGGGGAGGCTTTATTTGGGTTCTTTCTTTGTGTGTTTGTTTGCTCTTGGGACTAAGAGGGACTGGAAATGAATCCACGTTCTCCAAATCTTTCTAAACAAGTCTCTCATGTTTCAAACTTGTAAGTAACAGCCAGGCAAGGTGGATTAGTTTATCTTTGTTTTCTCAACTTGTGAATTTTCCCTTTGCTAGAGGGAGGTTTATCCCTGTTTTGTTGTAACTTTGAGATTAAAGTGAGAGGGGGTTCCCCTGGGCTCTTTGAATTTTCTGCCACTCTGTAAGGTTAACTACCAGGCCAAGTTTACAGAGGGGATTCTGTTACCTTTTTCTCTTTAAATAAAATCCTTCTTTTTAGGAACTGGAGTGATTTTTCCATTGTTCCAAGACCCAGGGGGTTGGGTCTGATCATTTTGTAACCAGTTGGTTAGGATATTCTTCTAAGCCTCCCCAGGAAAGGGGGTGGAAGGGCTTGGGGAAATATTTTGGGGGAATAGGTCTCCAAGTGGTCCTTTCCCTGAGTGTTGGTTAAATCACTTGGTGGTGGCAGCGATCCCAAGGCAAGAAAGGAATCTGTGCCTTGGGGATGTTTTAACTTAAGTTGGTAAGAATAAGCTCAGGGGGTCTTTCATGCGGGTCCCCACATCTGTACCCCAGAGTTCAGAGTGGGGGCAGAACCCTAACAGGCCCTAAATCACAAACAACAATTTAAACCTTGAAAATTACTTTTTAAAGACCCATTTTTAACCCCCCCTCCCCACATTTAAAAGCCAATTGCAGAAAGTTCCCTTCCACCACAGGGTAAAGGGAGGCTGGCACAGGGTTATTCTCTCTTCCCCCCACGTGTATTTGGGTCTTTGGGTTAAAGAACAAGCAGCAGTTTAGTTAATATTATTCCCTCAATACATCAAGCCCCCATCCCCTCAGCATCTCCGCTCCCCCTGGGCACCCTGACCCCCCATCCCATCAGCATCCCCCCTCCCCCTGAGCACCCTGATCCTCCATCCCCTCAGCATCCCCCCTCCCCCTGAGCACCCTGATCCTCCATCCCCTCAGCATCCCCCCTCCCCAGAGCACCCTGACCCCCCATCCCCTCAGCATCCCCCCTCCCCCTGAGCACCCTGACCCCCATCCCCTCAGCATATCCCCTCCCCCTGGGCACCCTGACCCCCCATCCCCTCAGCATCCCCCCTCCCCCTGAGCACCCTGAGCCCCCATCCCTTCAGCATAAGTATAAGTAGGGGCATAGCGAGCAGATCGAGGGACGTGATCGTTCCCCTCTATTCGACATTGGTGAGGCCTCATCTGGAGTACTGTGTCCAGTTTTGGGCCCCACACTACAAGAAGGATGTGGATAAATTGGAGAGAGTCCAGCGAAGGGCAACAAAAATGATCAGGGGTCTGGAACACATGACTTATGAGGAGAGGCTGAGGGAGCTGGGATTGTTTAGCCTGCAGAAGAGAAGAATGAGGGCGGATTTGATAGCTGTTTTCAACTACCTGAAAGGGGGTTCCAAAGAGGATGGCTCTAGACTGTTCTCAGTGGTAGCAGATGACAGAACGAGGAGTAATGGTCTCAAGTTGCAGTGGGGGAGGTTTAGATTGGATATTAGGAAAAACTTTTTCACTAAGAAGGTGGTGAAACACTGGAATGCGTTACCTAGGGAGGTGGTAGAATCTCCTTCCTTAGAGGTTTTTAAGGTCGGGCTTGACAAAGCCCTGGCTGGGATGATTTAACTGGGAATTGGTCCTGCTTCGAGCAGGGGGTTGGACTAGATGACCTTCTGGGGTCCCTTCCAACCCTGATAGTCTGTGATTCTGTGATTAAGGCTGCGTGGTGCGAGAGGACGATCCGGGGTGCACGCTAAGCAGAGACTCCGTCTGCCCTGCGGCGGGACTCGCACTCCTTTGCTGTGGCAGGACGGCTTGGCACCCCCCGTCTGGAGCAGCTCAGCACCGAGCCCACGCAGCCCCGGCCGGGAGCTGCCCCCTCTGCGCCCCCACCCCCGGCTCACTCCCCTCCCGCGCACGCGACTGACCGTAGCCCTCGAAGAGCCAGCTGAAGGCGGCTTGTTCCCCGCGTCCGCTGAACTCCTCGGCCTGGTCCGGCAGGGCCTCCTTCACCGCCTGGTAGCCACACAGCACCACCACCCCCCGGGGGCCCAGGTGGAGGGTGTGGACGGGGCCGTAGCACTCGCTGATCTGAGACGGGGACGGAGCGTCGGGGAGGCACGTCTGCCCTCTCCTCACTCCCATCTACCAGCCCCAGCCTCTTCCCCACCCCAGCCCCCCAAACACAGGGCACCTGCTGTCCCTCCCCCTCCTCATGCATCCCCGTCCCCGTCCCCTAATTCAGCAGCCTCCCCCACATACATACAGAGCACCCCACCCCACCTGTAGCCCCCTCCCCTCACAGCAGGGCCGTGGACGGGGGAGGATGGGGGGCGGGTAACAGGAGGAAGCAGAATTTTAAAATGCTTTAAGCAAGAACATAGGAATGGACAGGCCCTCCTGGCTCACCAGCCCCTGCCAGCTCTAAAGTCCTGGACAGACACTTGTAAAGAGCCGGCTTCCAACTACTTCGGCTCTTTGCCCCCCGCTGCTCCATGGGGGCTCCTGTTCCAGAGCCTCACGCTTCTGTGGCGTCCTGACCAGACCAGGCCAGAGTGAGGGACCTGGAGCACCCCCCACCCCCAGCTGACTCCCAGATACCACCCGGGATGTCAGACTACGGGCGGGTCTGCGCTAAAAAGCGAGGTCGACCCAGCTGTGTTGCTCAGGGGTGCGAAAAATCCACACACACCCCCCGTGCAATGTAGTTAAGCCAACCGGGGCCCTGGTGTAGACAGAATTCCTCCAGCCACCTATCTGGATTAACCACGCCCATGGGAGAACCCTTCCCGGCACTGCGGGTTGTGTCTGCACCCACATATTGCAGCTGCGTGGGTTGGGGTCGCCAGCTGTGGCTGGCTGTGTTCCTGGCAGCTTCGTAGCATGACGTGATCTCGAATGAATCTTTAATTCCAGGAGACTCCAAGACAGTCCTGAGGGCTGGCAACCCTAGTACCGTGGTAGCATTTCAAGTGTAGACAAGCCCTTAGATGCCCCTGGGCTTCCCCCAGTGTGTCCTTTTCCTTCTCTGCCTTTTTTCTCCGCTTTCCACCCCTCTCCTTTTACTCCTGGCTGATAAGAATCTGGCTTCCCCAGCCCAGGTCCCTGTGAGCCCGGGACCAGAAGCTGGAAGAAGTTTGCGAGGTCCCAAAGCGGTGACCGGACCACGGGCCACGCCTGTGGTTTTCCAGCTGGGAGGCTGCAAGCTGCATTTTTGGCCTTTGCCGGTCTCTTCTGGCCCCTTTTGTGTGGGTTTGTCTTGTGTTGTTTCCTAGGAAACAGCATCAGAGTCCAACAATGGCAGCACCGGCTGCAGTCAGAGTCAAAGCCCTTCTCGTTCGCAGAGTCACAGACAAAGGAGACCCTGTTACCCCCCATAAAACTACCAAAGCCCAAGGGTCAGGGTTTAAACAGGCTAATTCGACCCTTTACACTCCAGAGGCTTTCGCTGGGTTTTTTTTTTTCTTTTCTTTCTTTCCTGCAGCGTTAATAAAAGTTTAAAGGCTTGTTAATGACGTTTGCCGGGGGGCTAGGCAGGCTGAGGTCCCTGCGTCTCAAACCCCAAACCTGGGTTAATGGACGTTGACAGTGTCAGGGTCATCTTAGCACCTTTGACCCTTGAGGCTGCTTTATTCCAGCTGAACGAATGCAAGACACCCCCGCATCTGTCTGTCCATCCCCCAAGCCCCTCTCTCACTCACACACTCTCTCTTTCCCCTGGCACCCCATCCACGCGGGACACCTCCCGCTAGCTAACCAGGCCCTCCCTTCCTCGCTGGGGCAATGGGACCGCCCTCGCTCTGCAGCCGCCTCCATCCCCCTGGGACTCAGCAGAAGGGTTCTGTCCCCGCGGTGGCCAAGTGAACGGCTGGCGCAGCCCGGCGAAAGGAAGCCGTGGCCGTCCTTGTTCTCCAGCCAAGCCCGGGAAATGTCCCCGCCAGAGTCCTGCCGATGCATCGCAAATGGCGCAGAGCGCTGTGGCTAGCAGAGAGCCAGGGGCTGCCCAGAACAGCCTGCACACGGATGTTGGTGATTGTCTGGCCCCCTGGCACCCTGTCATGGGCTCTGAATGCAGCCAGACGGGACCCTCTGGTCGTGTGACACCCCTCGGGGCATCTGTCACCAGGGCAAGCCTCCCTGGCTTCAGTGCCTCCTGGGTCTGACCTCGGTGCATTCAGCACCCCCCGCTCCACGCCCTGAACTCCCCGCAGGGAGGCCACCTGGATGGGCCACTTGGGGAAGCTTCCACCCCCCCCAGAGGAGCCCTGCACCCCAACTCCACGGTCAGCAGTGACTCTCAGCCAGCGTGTAAAACAGGTTTATGAGTTCCCCTCCTCCTTCCTTTGCCTCTTTCCAGGCCAAACCGGTCGCCTGGCCTCCACCTCTCTCTTTGTTCTCCGACGGATGGGCCCCGGCCATCAGTTCCCAGACTCCGGAGTGTCCAGCCATTGTCTGGGTCCAGAGAGCCAGCCGGCAGTCACACACACCTGCCCTCCAGGGCTCTCTGCAATGCTCACATGCCCTTGTCCTGCCACCTGTACTTGTGCCACACATAGGGGAAACTGAGGCACGCACACTCGTCCTAGAGAACATTTAGGAAATTTCCACTTCGTCACAACCACTGACAGACATGCCGTCACGCACCAGTGAGGACCCACCCACCCGCTAGTATATTATGTGATTTATGGACAGCCGCAAACACCTGAACCCTTCTTTAATCCTGATCAACAAGTGGGATTGGTCTCTGGGCTGGAGGGACTCCAGAGACACCCAAGGTGCGACCTATGCTGGCCTCAAACCCTCGGGGTTTTGGCTCAGTTCACAAAACTCAAAGGTCTTTCAAAGTCTTTGCTGGAAATCCAACCCCTGATTAAATCCGCCTCCTTCCCCCTTGTCTCCAGGATCTAATATGGCTTTTTGAACGTGGAAATTGCATGTCAAATCTCCCTTGACTGACAGCTCCATGTAGTGGATAACAACTTACTACTGCTACTGGTTGATGGGAGTTGCTCCTGGGACTCCAATCTACGCTGGGATGCTGAGAGGTAAACCCTGCTGGCCAACGATGGC